AATAACTTGTATCTTTGGTATTGTTTTTCTGTTTTAATATCCAATCATTCAGTTTATTGCATTTATTTTCTGAGATGATTAGAATTTTATTGCGATTTAATGTTGTAAACAAGACAATATGGCTAGGATTTTCTTGTTTAGTTTAACTTGTTGATCTTTATTATCATTTTTTTTACTATTATCTCCAATGGAAAAGAACTCGTTTCTCGGTATTTAGAGGTGAATGTTGTTAGGAATGCCGGGTCTAATCTTATATAAAGATTACCTTTTTTTCGTTATTGACTTTAAACTTTAATATCAAAATAAATCTTATTCGGAAATACCAAATAAAACGATAGTAGTTAAGGGTTACTAATTTCCTCCAATGGGCATTTTATGCAGAAATAATGGGTTTATTAAAAAAACTGTAAGCTCTATCGAAGTTTGTTTGTTTTACAGATTGTTTTATTTAACAAAAATCTTCGCGTAGCAAGCAAGGTTTACGTCAGAACCATAAGCTTTGTCTAGAGTTTATCAAAGCACCCGACGTTCTTGATTTCTTCGAAGTTTAATTATTTCGAGAATGAAAACCAGGAACTGTACAAATTTTCATTTCAAATATTCCGTCCAAAGATAGTGTTAGAACGTAGAACGTTTATGTGTCGAACATCAGTTAGTCGCTTTCCTCGATGTGTCGAAGTAAAATGAAAGGTCCCGATTCCCTCATCCTAAATATTCTTGAAGTTATGGAAATTTGGCCGCATTTGTATGTCAAATGTTTCGATCTGTCTTTCCGTGATCTGTTTAGCATAATTCGAGAATAGTATAATAGAAAAGTCGAACTTTATATCGCTCGAGATATTTTTTTATTATTTTACTAACCTCGATGATAAATGTCGATCAAATTGTATGACACATGATATTTATATTCAAACAGTGTATGCATTTCTATGTGTGATAATATGTTTTCATTGTAATCCTTCTTATCGCTGTAGAAGTATCTAAAATTAAATTAGTTCCGTTTTTTTATCTCCGGTGCCGCGTTAGCACAATTTATCGTAATCATTTATCGTAGAGTAATATAATTGTATTTTTTTTTAGTTAATAAATATCCAGTGCTAAGCTTTGTTAAATCAAATAAAATTTGAAATTTCCCTTGGCTCTGATCATTGGTTGATGGCCCCGGAAAAAATAAAATAAAAAATACGTAAAACATGTTAAATTGAATAAATCTGTCCATGTTTCATGTATTTATTTTGTATGAAATAAACATCCTGCATCTGGTTTAAATGTTATGTTATAATAGCGTCAACGCACTTTTTGCATGCTATAAAATTTGCAGAATTCCTCGGAACTGTTGGAGACCTTGTCCTACCGTGCTTGGGCACCAACCGTTCCTCGGGACTCTGCAGACGTTATTACACGAAAACTCGTGCGTTAACCCTTTTTTGTTGATTTTCTTTCCCTTACGAGCAAATAATGCATATTGAACAGTACAATGCCCACTTAAAATATATCAACACTGAAGTGAAGTACGGGGCAACCTTTTCTATATTGTGTTTATCAATGACATTCAGATTCTTCTTTTTTGTATCTGAAATACACTTGCCTTATCAGAAAAACATGCTTTTTTATTGCAGCCTCCATGCTCTTAGGTGATTATTTCTCGCTATCTCCCATGCGAGTTAATACCTGTAAATAGTTAATAAGGATGCACGAGGAGTTTAGCGATCCATCCGATATGCTAACATTCTCCATGCTTTGCTTGTCATAAAATGGAATTACCGTTATTCAAACTACAGTGCCACATGACACAATATTTGAGTATGAATTCCATTCACCTTTTCAGTAGCAGACCATCTTCCAAAGAGATAATTGTTTACTTTGACCGGTCTGTTTCTATAAAATTCCACTAATTTAAAAAGTTTTATTTGTCATGTTTTCATGAATATCCGCAATTAAAGAATAATATTGGTTACATTGATATATAGTTAATCAAAAAAGAAATAATAAAAAGGTGTTGGGGGTTTGGTCAATGACCATAAGCTATGTTAGCTAATTACACATCTTACATCGTGTTAACGTGAATAAAGAGTAATAATGATTATAGAAAAAGTCCTCTGGGAGCATTATTAATTAATTTGTTTTTGTTGTGTTTTTGATTAAAAGAACAAGTTATCGTGAGGTTTATTTCTTTTTATCGTGCAATACATCTATGAAATTGCTTTGGTATGATTAAATATAGTTTACCCTTTTGGGCTTCTTTTTATTACGGTGTCTAAATATATGAACCAACCTCACAAACAGACTGAATTAGTGACCATTGTCTTTGAATGTTTTTAATGTTCAACAAGAACTAACCAAAAATGATTACCACGATGAATTCCTTATTTCGTTTGTTCGTTTTTTTGTGTGTGTTTTTTTTGTTGTTGTTGTTGTTGTTTTTTTGGGGTTTTTTTTTTGCTTTGGTTTTGCATTTCTTTTTTAAAAACAATAATTCCCTGTCAGCAAACACAATGACGTTAGATTGACGGTGTATATTTTAACCCCAGAGTTGTCATATCCTCTGCTCTTTTGGGATACACATTCTGTCAGTGTTGGGGATTGAATATCGCTTAATTAAATCGTCGTAAGATGCTTATCTGACTCAAACCAAAACTTTTATTTTTAACAATTTGCGTTTAGTTCGTGGCTCACGGGGTCATATTTTTACTATGTGTCAGCTTTCAGAAATATGAAATGGATGAAAGGGCATTCCATAAAATAAGAAAGATCCTGAAATTTTTTAACAAATCATTAAAAAGACTCAAAAATATAAAAACAATAAAAAGAATACAAATAAAAAAATACTTCATCATTATCGTTTTTAAAAGGAACAGGTCTCAATTTCAAGGCATACATTTTCAAATATATTAAACTTAGAAAGAAAAACAGAATGTATTAGTATTCTCTTGTCCATGACTTTTGCAAAATATGATATTACTTAATATTGCTATTATAATATTTAAAATCAGATACACACGAAGTGTAAGCTATACTTATATACTTTTAATATTCAAGATTATATTCATGTACTGTTAGTGTCCTAGTATAGCGTTATTTACTTTGCCAGTGCATTATTTGTGTTCCTTTTTTCAGTTTTTCATTCACACCGAAGGTCACTTGGCGACGTTAGGTAAAAGGAAGTCCTCAGGTATACATCCATAATTCCTGGCGGATATCGATCAACCCCACAGCTTTGACTGAAAGTCAAGTTAACAAATCAGGCACGGAGTACACTACATTTCTTTTTTTCTTCACCCAATAATTGATAAAATCTTACACAAATATATAAAAGCTTTGAAATCCTCAAGATAATCAACGTAAAGATGTACTGCTTTCAAATAACAAGACGGAAAATAAATTGCAGAATGAAGTCATTGTACTGAATCCAAAACATTGATCACATAACATACCAAGACTCATTTTCTCATTTTTCAATCTACTATTTAACTGTAAATTGTACACATAGGAATAATTATTTGTATCATTTCTATTGTTTTTCTCCTTGAATATCCAATAATCCAGTTTATTGCATTCATTATGTTGCGTAAAATAGAACTTTTATTGCGATAAATACTTTAAACTGGGCAATACGGCTAGGAATTGTTTTGTTTATCTTATTACGTATGTTATGGGTAATAAACTTTATTTCTTGAATTAAGGTTTGGAGCGAGGATAGGTAATGAGTTAACTGAATTAATGTCTAATTTTAGTCTTAGACAATGATTACTTTTTCAATGTAAATCTTTAGCGTTAACCACTCAACCAGTCTTATTTGAAAACTCTATAACTTACTTATCGTCATCGGGTATGAAATCACTAATGTAATATTTTGTAATTATTGGGATTTATCAACTCAAATTATGTTTCCTAAACGGAGAAACATAACACAGTTATTCATAGTAGAGGTATCTAACATCTTTTCTGCATCACCATTTGCTTCTGTACTAGACTGGGTATTGATGTAACGAAGATTATAAGAAGTTCGATATCATAAATTTTCAGTGGTCCCTGTTTAATAGTATGTTGCTTAGTTATTTTGCATAACTGCATAATTGCACTTTAAAACTATCAATTAGGATTTTTTTACAATATTTTGTTTCAATTTGAACACATTTTTCTTTTCAATATCACATTCCTAGGTTTAAAACTAAACGGCGATTGAACTAAATTAATTTCTATCATGTAATAGAGTCAATTTGTTTTGTTGATTTTTTGCCTCCATTTTGTTTCATTTTTTCTCTTGTATTTTCTTTTTTTGACCATTTGGTCTAATATTCTATTTATTGCAATATACTTGATTTCTTTGAAAATGTCTTTGATATATTTTCAACTGAATAAACTTTGTGTACGATAATGCCATGGGCTGTATTTTTGTAAACGTCTATATCTGGGAAGGGAAACTCATAAGCTTTCATAGCTTTCTGTCCAATCCTAAAATTTATTGTGTAGATATTATTCATCAAACATAATGTAAATATATCGAATAAATATTTAAACCAATAGTATGTTGGGGTTGCGTTCTGTAGAAGTCGCTCGACCTTGTTGATTTTTGTTTACATATTATTATTCTGTGTTTGTTTCATCTTTATAATAATTGACCTAAAGTATTTTACCCTTTGTATCTGTATGTAAATGTTCTTGATTAGGCTAGTAGTATTAGATTGTCAGTTTAAATAATTTACTGTTCAAACTTACTACGGAGATAGTTTAACATATCACAGCATATCAAAAAGGTTAAAATGTGAAATTTAAAGCCATTTGTTATGTAGATAAACACATTTTGTAAACAGGTAATCTTGAATGAGGGACTTATCTCTAATGTTTATCTAAGCACCAAATAAGAATGTTTAGTTTGTAACGAAACTGAAAACGTATTTGTTGATAATGTCTGTTTGTAAATATAGCGTTTATAAACCACAACCTGATATGCTTCAAAATATTGTCAACAACTTAAGATTAAGTCGAACATGATTTTTGATCCTGACCGATTTTGCTTTGCTTTTGCTTACAATTTATTTGCAATAATCTAACACTTGGTCGAAACTTATATATACTCATTATAAATCTGATTTTAAATATAGACGCATTTTGTTATAACCAAAGTTTCTCCCTCCATGATGGACAAAATGAGAGGTATAATAACATTTTTGACGTTCTGCATATTCATATGGAAAACTGTGGATTCTTCGGCTGCAACATACGGTATGTTAAGATGATTAAATTATCTTATATAATTATTTATTTTTCAACGGACTCTTTTGTATCTTTTTAACCATTAATTAATGAATCTCTTGAATAAGACAGAGCTGATATTGATTATGGAAACCGGGCTGTAACTTCACGTTATGTTGATGAAGAATTTAACACTATCAAGAATAAACTTTAAGAAACAACCGCATATATTAGGACTGAAACAATTGACGCATAAATGTTTTGTTCAAAATGAATTTGACGCCAAAAAGCTATTTATTGTCCTATTTGTATGGTATGGTGGTTATAAAAGTATTTTGTTTCAACTTTAAAATTATTTATTTATTTATTTATATTTATTTATTTATTTATTTATTTATATTTATTTATTTATTTATTTATTTATTTATTTATTTTTTAATTTATTTACTTGTTTAATTATTCATTTATTTATTTATTTCCTTTATTATGAATTAGCATGTGAAAAGCAAAATTTTAATATGAATAAAGTATGTGATATTCGTAAATAATAGAATACTAGTACCATTATTCTACACGTTAAAATTGTGAGTATCCAGCTTATGCAATGTGAAATTTCAGCACTGAAATATATAATCGTTATCACTAACTGTATTGTTTAAAATCACTAACGACTCATTTTACAATCAAATATTATGGGTGGTGTCTCGATGGACTAGACGTTAAGGTTACTGAACTCAATCCACGGAACCAAATAATGAAAGCGGCTGTGATTGGTTCTCTTTTAAACAAAAAATATAAACAATTAAATGTGATGTACTTAGATATATTCTTATATTCTAATTTATATAACTTTAGATTGTAGACAAGACCCATTAGACTACAATACCATCGATATATCAGAAACAGACCCGGTCGGTGAGTATCTGCTAGTTCGATTATACATTTACTTTGTAATTATAAGGTAAAACTGGAAAGTTGTCATACTGGTTCACAGAACCAACTATTTACTTAAGCATAAACGAAATTCAATATAATAGCATTTTTGTAGCCAATAAGATAGTTGCGTAAAATTATTATTAATAGCATGTAGAATGTTTATTATTGAAACTATAACTTTAATTGTAAATTTATATTACAATTAAAACAGACCTGTGTCAGACAATGTGGTGATAGTAAGTTTATTTTGTTTTAGACTTACGAATATTCCAATTATCAAAAATAAATGAAATATATAGACGATCCCCCTTCTTCATAAAAAACTATTTTGCTTTAAAGTTATCAACAGCAATCAATAGTGCTTTTCGTATATCGCAAGCACACAGGAAATAAGTATAGCAATTGTTTTTCGTTCTCAAGATACCGTTCTAGTAACGTTCAACAACAGTTTAAGAGGTCTTCGCTGGACAGCATCTGTAAATGGTTCAAGTAAGAGTTATCTGTCTTTGTTCTTCAAATCGTCAATGGTAGAGGACGCTGAAGATCTGCATTCGCTAACACTTGCAAAGATTCTTGACCTTGAACTCTTGCAGTTGGAGCTTACTTCTTCTTCACAGGTAGTAAGGTCTTACTATCATTTTCTCTAAGACTTGTTTCTTGTAGTTCCGACAAAACCGAAGCAAATAAATGTTTACGTAGATAAATACTTCATTTTATACTGGATGTAGCATTAACACGATACTTTATCGTGTCTATTCAAATCTAGTCTAACCCACAGTAACTCCTATTTTATGAAAAAGAACTCGATTTTTAGGTGTTTTTGTTTTATTCCAGCTATTTGTTGAAACCACATATGATGTTGTAACTCTAGATTTGTCGGTATTTTGTGTCGAGGAACCTGGAATAACAAACGTGAGTTGTGTTGTTTTTTGTTGTTTTTTTAGTGATTTCCACTTTTGTTTTAATAAATAAAAAATATATTAATAAAATTTGCCTTTAAAGGTATATCAGTAATTAATAAGGAGATATAATAAAAACATATGACAAACAATTTAGCAAATTATCTCGCATTAAATCAATATATCTCTAAACAACAGTAATGAAATCAGTTTAAAGCCTTTTTGTTTGACAAAAACATTATTATCACACAACACTCGTGTTTAACGTATTCCTAATAGCTACACAGATAAGAACTGAAATTTAAAATATAGCGCAAAACAATATAATTTATCGGGTTATTATATTTGAAATGAATGTCCGTTTTTCAGATTCAAAAATTTCAAAATGTCAAAATGTTTGATTTTTACTGCTATGACATAATTTTAATTTCAGGAATGGCATTTTAAAATACACATTCAGTCTGTGAACGAATTTTATCCTCAGTTTATGGGATCTCCATTCAAAGCCACGGTGAAAGAGGTATAACGCAATTAGTGTAGTTACTTAAGCATTTTCAGTAAAACATTTGCATTAGTTAAAGGTGACTGATTTATTAAATGTACAACTAGTTACCATTATTTCGTTTTAAGTGATTAGCCTGTCCGTGCTCCGCCTTGCGCTCTGCCCTGTTTTTGTATTAGGTCCTCCTGGGCTGCTTAACGCAGGTCCTGTGTTACTGTGTCGTGTGGGGGTTGGGTTCGTTAAGTCCCGCTTCCATGTTGATCTTGTTTATCGATTTTTGTGTGTTGCAATTACAAAATGGCGGAAATATACGTTGCCCTTATTGCGCCATTCTCAGTGTGGTCAGAAATGCTTAGAATGCAACTAACGACAATGGAAAATAACATTGAGACATTGCTACACGACTATCGACAATGCAGAAAGCATATTTCAATCCTGAAATGACATGTCTCAATGAATTACATGTAAGAAAATAACAAGGCTGTGGAAATACAGCTTTACACAATCATCTCGATCCATTCAGATCATCAGAATAAATACATGTTTCTCATGTATCTCGCAAAGTTCCTTTTTATGTATATCTTCTTTGGTGTTTTTCTTTCAAAGTGTATTTGGATTCACCATAAATTAATGCTAAACCACATTGCCATGCGTCATATCGTATTTTATATGCCGCAACTCTGCTATTTCAAATTACATTACCTCAAAGCACTTCTGACAGCATATCAAATGACAAGATGTAAAATTAAAAATAAAGAAACAATTTCTTTAAAGACATAATTTTTCATATGCATAAAGCAATGAAAAATTAACATTATCATGGAAGACAAAGTGGCCTCTAATTGTCATACAAAACGTATTCAGTTTGTGATTTCAATGTTGTTTTTCTTTTTCAGTCAGCAGCTGTAGGTACAGAAATATTTAACATTGGAGCTAGGGCAACAGACATTGACGCTGGTCAGAACAATCTAACCTTTAACATAGCCCCCTACATGATTACACAGGTACACAGTTTTATTCACGATATCAATAACTCATTATTTAGGCGCAATATTTAACCCTTTACCTGCTGAATTTCGAACATCCAATTTTGAAACTATAAATTAATTGTCGGGATAAAAATTGGTAGACTAAATATATAGAGCCTTGCCAGATTGCATGGATATTGAGATAAATACAAATTTATGTGCCTTGCTAAAACAAATATTTACACACCCTGGACCACAATGAAAAGTGCTTCAAAATAATGATGATATACTGTGTATTTAATTCTTATTACTGGTCATATAGTTTTAAAGTCATAATGGGATTTTTTATATTATTCATGATAATAATGATATTATATTGTTACTCATTTTGTACATGAAAATACCATAGATTAATCTGCTATAAGAAAGAAAAAAAACATTGGAACTGTAATATGATTATTATTACTTATTACCTATACACAAGTATTTTCCATGCCTTGAGTCGCGATTCATTTGGAAGATAAGTAATAACAGAGAAGCAGGAAAAGATTTAGTCATTTGAGCCGCGTCACGACAAAACCAACATAGTGTGTTTGCGACCAGCATGGATCCAGACCAGCCTGCGCATCCGCGCAGTCTGATCAGGATCCATGATGTTCGCTTACCAACCCTATTACAAGTAGAGAAACTGATAACGAACAGCTTGGATCCTTATCAGACTGCGCGGATGCGCAGGCTAGTCTGGACCCATGCTGGCCGCAAACCCATTATGTTGGTTTTGTCATGACGCGGCTCATTTTAATTTTACATTTAAGTTTGACGGCAGTCGTTACGTCAAACTCGACGACCAGAACAGGGGCAGTATTGTGGTCGCACAACCTCTAGATTTTGAAGCGTTTTATACGTCAGGAAGAACGTACATTTTTGTCAACGTCACTGCTACGGTAACGTTCATTTGATTACTTTTCTTACTAGATTTGTCATATTGTACATTTATGTTCATTAATAAATTGTTCATGTGTTGTACCTGTAATAGATTATTGTGCCTCGATATTGGGTTTTAAATATTTAAACAAAAAAAAAATAGAGAAAAACGGAATCCCTAAAGAACATACAAAACGGTAATATTGAAAATGTTGCAGGCTCGGTTTAAATGAGCCTGTTCATGGACGGTAGAGGTAATTACACGCTAACGTCCACGCACCCTAGCACAAAATCAATTAGACAGTTTATGGGCGTGCATAAATTGGCACCATCATTGCAAATGAATGGTGATGTGGGTAGGAATTTCATTCAACAAATATATTACATGTTATTTTCAATCTTACATTTTTTGGTAAAAATCAACAAGTGAATTAAAGGCCTAACGTGACTGAGCAATGACCTGTACGTAACAATTACAAAATATATACTCTCATATGTATGTACACTGTCGCTAAAATAAAATTTACATTTTTAAGTTTGAGCTCAGAAAAAATCTTTTGAATGAGATATATTGGACGTCTTTTCAATTTAAAACCACTGTGTAATTGCTGTGAGCGTGAACAAAAAAGTGCGGCATATCAAGATTCGTTATTATCAATGCCAGTCAATGTCACTCAATGATGCATAACATCATTGTTGTTTTTATATCAAATGTTTTCCATGGATAGAATAAAAGATAAGTAGAACAAAACCGAACAGCTCTGAGGCATTACTCTAATTTACTCAGATTACGCTGATTCTATACACAACATAATCTTATCAGTTTACAGTTTAAATGGTAGCTGTTATGATAAATAACCTAAATCACCAATTTGAAGTCTGCCAAAATACTTTATTTACAATCTGTCTAGTCGTTATACGGACGACTGGTGTTTTTTTCTGCTTTCTTTACAAAAATCAATTTAAATACAAAATAAAGACTCAAGTTCAAAGTTTAACTAGAATAATTCGGACCCTTTTGATGCTATCAGTTAAACTGACTTTCGTAAGCTACAAGTTTTAAAGATAAATAAGTATGCACATCCGTTCAGTCTGATCAACCACTAAGGTTCAACATCTTTCTCATTGACACCTTCGCCTACACATGAATGATCAAAACAACATAGCGTCATCTCGTAAAATAAAAGAAAGATGAAAACGAAAGTACAACAATTTTGGAGTTCCTGGTTATCTTTATTTATTTTTTGACTGTTTTATTATTTTTTGTTTTGTTGTATTCATTCCAGGACGAAGGAGGGTACACTTCAGCGACGTCAATTAATGTCACAGTTACTGATAGCAATGATCAGGGTGTACAACTCGTGTATCCAGGGTGCGCAAGACCATGTCTGACCGCAAACTACTCCGTTCTCACCAACGAATCTTTTGTTGTGAGTGAAATCCTACAAGAATGTCATAAAATATGTAGCATTGCTTAAAGATGTACACGTAGTACACATAAACTGTTAAACGTCTTAAGTGTATGATTGGCGCAGACGTTGCTTGATGTTGTTCATTTATGTTAAGTTTCATATTAATCTTAATGAATTTAACGAAGTGTTTAAGTGTCAAATGACACTTCAGAAAGATATAAATGTATAAATGTTTCAAAGTATCTTTTAAAATATCTTTAGGTTCAAAGGATGTTTTAGGGTTTTTTAATATTTACAAAAATAAACATAACCATCAAACCTTATTTATTTACAAATTATTGTTAACAATTTGCAATCCTAATACAATAACCAACTTTATGTTGGCGCAGATAATCCGACTTAAAGCTAAGTCATAATGCTCTTAAAATACAATAGATATTCGTTTCAAATGATTTCATGCTGACTCAATATCGTTGTCTTTTTTTCGTACATGGCATATAGTACATGTAGGTAATCATTAAAAGATATTGTGACCAGTCACAACAGTGCAGCTCCTTTTAGAATTATAGCTTGTTGACATCCCATTTCCAAAAGGTTGCGTATTTATAAAAATGAATGAAACCTAGGACACGAGAAAAAAACGTATTTTTTTAGCTTATAAGATATTTGCTTCATACTTTCAGGGCAGATTAGAAGTAGGACCAGTATCGATTCATGCTGAGGACTTAGATACGCTCAATGACAGTGTAATTTACACACTTGAATCAGGTAAACGTATAAGTAATATCACTATTCAATATCATTATTATAACAATGGTTATTCACTACGCCATAAATTAAGACGTGTTTTAGTGCATCGAGAGATGCATCGAACTTAAATACAAATAAATTGATTCCTTTTGAGGACAAATGTTATGGGAATGATGTATAGTCTTACCACTATTTCGTGTTGAGAATTGAGTACCGCTCAAGCCGATGCTAATGGGCGTGAGGGATGTTGCATTATTCATTATCCCTCATGTACAGACTCAATCAAACAGAGTTTGCAATTTTCATATAATTTTGCTGTGATTATTGCTTCCGAGGGATAACTTTGTGTCCAGATTTTTATATAAATAATCACCGACTTAAAATATTTTGGCACGACCTTTGGATAATCAAATAATTTATTGAGTATGTGTTAAGTGTATTGATAGTTCTATAACTTCATCATTATATGGCTTATCGAGTATTAAGGTTTTCAAGGTAAGCAGATGGTTGTTTCCATAGTACTCTGTAGTCCTCGTCTTGCTATTATTTTACAACATTGCATCTCTCTTTTTTTGCATGATATCTGAATATACAAGCAATTGAATAATCCCCATTTGCACGTAAAGGAGAAAAAAAATAAAAACGTTATGAGTAATCTTATTTATTACTCTTATTTTCATCTTGTTAATCATTTTACCGAAACAATCTTGTTAATCATTTTACCGAAACATTTTGAATAAAATTGCTTTCTGAATTGATACTTTCATAACTTGGAATGTCCCAATAGGGCACAATAACAACATAAAAGCTATAAAAACACAAGAAAAATGAAATTTTCGCTCCTTAAATCTGATTTCAGATATCGATAGGGAATTCTTTGACATCGATTCAACAACTGCCAAGCTTTTCAAAACATCACCACTAGTAAATGACTCCTATGGGTTTGCTTTTACGATCGAGGTGATTTTTTTATTCTGTTTAACGTTGACATTACATTTCAACTTTGTGTTATTTTTCTCAGTGTATGATAATATTTTTGAATTTTTTAAAATTGATTGGACGCATAGTTTCACTAACTTATAAAGTGATGAAAACATCATAATTATGTAGACAGCTAGAAACTATTATCATTAATACTTGTGATAAAGTCCAAGATTAACTATTAACTTCAGAACGTTTTTAGTTTATTATGCTGTGGTTGCTATTGTATTCTCATATCTCCTTTTCATTGTTGCTACTGCAGTTTTTGTTTTTGTTATTTTTTTTAATTTTGTATTTAGTTTTTTCTTATTTTCTTTCTATTTAGCTCTATTTTTGTGTGTTCATTAGGAACAGATCTGGCATAATAATTATTCGGAATTAAATGTAAATCTGTTCATAGATATCATTTTAACGATACTTTAGCCTTTATTTACTTAACAGTTGGCCTGCTGGCTTTTTGGGAAAGATTCTAAAAATGAGACCAGCGCGTACAAAAATCCGCACGGTCTGATATTGGTTTGCACTGTTACGTGGTAGGGGTTCAAACAAGCTGTTCTCATTTATATATTTGTAGAGCTATCATATTTCAATTATGTACTTAACATTTTAATACGTAATTGCATAGAATTGCATGGTGTCTATGATAAAAGATAAAATGCACGGTTTGTGTTTGACGCGGAAGATCGCGGAAGATTATTTGCATTTTTTGTAGTTGATATATTCATGTTCTTTCATCTGGCTAAACTGTATATATATCCTATACTTGACCTGTATTTAATTTGTTGGTAACTAACCTTTCTTATTATTATCTTAAAGCAGCCATCAGTTACGAGTCTGGTTAAACGTTATGAATGTAAAGACTGGCTAAGCATCATATTGAAAACAACCGCAATCCATATTGGCACCGGCAACCAAACGTATACGTTGCATATGAAATGTACAACACATTTATTGGTGTCTAATCTTTTACAGGTGCGTGCACAGGAGACAACAAACGAGGATCATTTCCTTACTTTTAACATCTCGGTTTTAATATCTGAGAGACTACCAAAACTGGGTAACTGTTTTTATTCATCACATATCTAAACAATCTACATATTCATGAAAGTAATGAAATAATACATTAATTATAAATCAGACATTTGTTGTTGCCTTATGTACTTTAATGTGTTTCGAGTCTACAATGACTTTAATATGAAGCACTGATCTTGCTACTGTAACAGTAACTTTCAATTTCCATGGTATTTAATTGATTTTATTTGCTTTCAGTATTTTTGTTTTTCGTCCATTCTCTTCGGAGACTACTAAAAGTATATTTTGAATTTGTATTATTACAGGGAATGTTTCATATCAACTGTAATCAATATAAAGTTTAACATGTCAATTCTTATCTTTGATTTTGATCTCTTGTATTTTTATTGTTTATTATGTCCGTTGACAATATATCCCTACACGCGTCGCTTTCTTTTCCTACACCTTCACACAAGGTAAGATCTGTACCTATTGTTTTCACAAAAAATAATGAATTTTCTCTAACATGCTTTCTATAAAAATACTCTTTACATTTACTTTGATTTGCTTTCATTACAATGTTCATTATCATTCTTTTATGTGGGTAAACATTGTGAAAGACAACTCTTTATAAATGCATGTCAATGTATTGTTGGTTTCTTTTACACTTTATAATAATGCAGTACACGTTTGCGATATTGAAAAATGTAAAAAAAAATATTTTCATGTCAAAATGATTCTTTTTTTAAGATTAGGACGTACGGTTTGCATATATCTTTTTAGCTTTTAAGCATTATTTTAGAAACAAGATCTTACATTGGTTGTCATTTCGTAAGGAAATGTTTGAAAGGAGTTTACCTAAGGTACAGGAAAATGACAAATGAAATGTTATTAATGATTATTTTTAAATTGATTGCATGATTTGGAAATAGTTTATGTTACACTTACAATTGATAATTTTATAAATCATGTTCAGTGTGTGAACACTAATGTTCTACACAAGGTTCATGACCATCTCTTTGTAAAATATGTGAAATACATGAATCTTAAGTATGCTGATATTGAAGCTACATTATTCTTTTTTTCAATCACAGAATAAATGAACAGTGCTCCCTTGTTTGGGTGCTTACAACGTTTATGTCGGGTGGTTATATGGCTGTCTGAACAAAGAGGAAGCTGTTTTGTTGGTTCTCCAAACCGAGGTAATCATACTAATGGAAACGCCAATTTGAAAACCACTTATTTCTCTGATATGTTTCCTTTGAGTTGCTCCCACTGCACATATAAGATTTAAAGATATTAAAATTAAGAGTAAATTATATCTTTTATTATTTTTATATCTTAAAATTGTTGGAACCAGAAAATATAACAACACTAAAGTGAAGTGCGGGGCATCGTAGGAACATACGGGCGCCGGCATAGAACAGTAAGCAGCATAAGTAGTAGCGGTAAGTTTCAGCTGATTTATGGTGCACAAAACCTCTCTCTTAGCCCCAACATGTTTCTTTGGAACGAGACAATGTAAATAAAATTAATCCCCGCCAAAATCTCTCACAAGGGCCCGACGAAGCAAGGTAGAAGACTAAGAATTAAGACAATTTAATCCTGGTGGGCTTTTATATACTGTCAGTTTTAGAGTCTCTGACTTGGTCCGTCAGATGTAATCAAAAATAACAAAGAGTATTGTTTATCGTACTTCTTTTAACTGTCGTTAAATTGTGTGATTTTTCGAGGTCTTTAAATGCAGTACTTTATCTTATTGCTAAAATGGACAAAAGTAGTTCATTTTGTAAAACACATTTTTTCTATTAAGTGCTCTATTGAAACATAGTTTTTTTTTTTCTTAGACGAGCTTCTTATTTTGTGATGGTGGTGAAGGTATGGCGGTGGTAGTTGTAGTGGTAGTAGCTGCCGTGGTGTTGTCTTAGTAGTACTTGTATTAAGTACCTGATGCAAAATGTGTGGCATAACAGCAATTTTTATAACACTAACAAGTTGCTTTTTATGTAAGCATTAAAGTAAGAATTCGTTTAAACCGATTGTATTTAATCCATTGTTCAAGAAAAGAACATTGAAATCACGCCTACGCCCCTGATTATCAAAAATTCCCTAATGTTCATGTGCATTTAAGTCACTCATTTCCCTTTCTAAGGGTGACAAAGTGAAATAAGCTTATTCAAACGTAAAGGAATCATCGTGAGGATATATTCTTAGTTAATTAAGAATATTTTGATAATTCAACCAAAACTCTGAGAGATTTGCTAACAAAATACATAATATATATACTTTTTGATAGATAGGTAGTAAAGTACATGCTTAAATAGGGTATAATATTATATACTTATATAAAGACCAAATTGCTAAATGAACTTTAGGTCATCAACTTACACAGTAAGTGTTATATTATTACAGATACATTTACATAAAAACAAGCTACAATCGTACCTATCTCCATCGACTGCTGATAACTATAATTTGTTTCCTGAAACTGTAACGATGAAAGCAGATGAAATTGTAAAAACGATCGTCCTTTTTGGGTAGTGTTCGTTATTGAATATAAATTGATATTCCTTGATATACTTTTTTACCTAAATAGCTTGACATACTGACATAAACAATAACACTCTCGTGAAACGAAAGGTGACTCAACAAATAAACAAATCGAAATAAAAAAGTCGATAGCACACAAAGATTTATATCGCAAAAATAACAATGCGTATTTTCTGTAAGTCAGTAAATTGCAGACTCCTTAAAGCATATCTTAACATATCAAAACTCACGTGCTGTATTTGATGGCTTAATCGCTTACATAAACGAACATTTACAACAGCTGCGTACAGCTAACGACATAATTGCAAATAATAAGTTGTGGAATAAAATGTTAATCCCTCCACCATCTCGGAGAGACACATTATAAAGAAAAGAATATTTATGGCATTAAACAATTAGCAACTAGTAGAGAAAACTGCTTTACTGAAATGGCTCTTCGTATATTCTTAGATCTTATTATTATTCTTAGTATTTATAATGTGTGCACTGGACAAAATAAAAATACACGTTACGATAAATCGTTGAAAGCAGTAAATGTGGATAAAATTAAAAAATCAGTAGTTAGGTTTGAGTTTTTCAAGATTTTTAAAATTATTATCAAACTTAATTCTGTAGATCTCGCTTTTTTTATCTCATCCACACACATCCCTGTGCCATTTTTATGTACAAAACCATGCAAATAAAGAAGTCAAAATTTGTTATTATATCAGAGCTTCATGCTTGAAACTCTAATTAATTGACTTGATTTCAGCCATACTTTTGATTGATCTATTCTTCATTTAAGAATTTCCTACTTAGTCTGCAAGACGTTGTTCAAATTCAAACTTTGACGATACCATAATAGATCTACCTTATCAACCGAATTATGTATCGTTTTCAGTGTACCTGGATTATGACCTGGATGTTGACAAGCGGCATACCATACGCTTCAACAGGGTAAATATAACTACATTTCCAGTTTCTCAAAGAAAATTATATTTATTGTAAAAGGTTCATATGACATCCAGCAGCGTCTGCCAGTTACACAGCACAAAGTGTTTATGCTTCGAACATATTTGGTTTTTAAGGTTTATAAACGGATAGACGATTTTCAGTTTTCTTCAAAACTGTACTTAATTTTGTTTGTTTGTTTTTGGGCTTTACGTCACATCGACACAGTATAGGTCATATCGCGACGTTCCAGCTTTACTGGTGGAGGAAGACGTCAGGTGCCCCTCCGTGCATTATTTCAGGCACGAACGGGCACCGTACTAAGTTTTAAAAAATGTGAAAATATTCACATTTCAATAAATACCCGGCTATTTACATGTTACATGCAATTAATGTCTGATTTTGCATTTTCATCACTATAATTTATTGTGTGACTAACACAATAAAGGCTACTTATGCATATGGTAACCTAATACTTGCACTGTCCGTAGATTACCGTTTGTGTGTACTTTTTCAGTCAGCATGTTAACTTGTAAAATTCTCATGATCAAGCTTGATTTTCTTGAAATACTTGCCATGGATACATACAGTTATGTTTGCACAAGTCATCACGATAATTTGACAAGTTGATATGTTGTTAGCACATGCCATCGTGAAGGTGATATAAATATCATATCCAGATGCTCATTTATCCGTTCTTTTTTCTGGGTTGACAAATTGTGACAACAGGGACCGTGTTTTTATTTTTGCCTATGATACAAAAGAGAAAGAACATCAAAATACTCGGCAGCCTGATTTATACTCGGGGGCTACGTACAAATCAGATAGTCTCGTGTTATAATACTATTTCTATTACTTATAGTATTACAAATAACAAGACGTTTGCAGACGGATTTGTAATAGTAAACATGTTTACGTTTAGTTCTTGATTCTTTTCCTAGATTATAACAAATGAAGGCAAAGGTTATAGTACTTCCACCGGTATCTTCACATGTCCTACTGCAGGCGTATACATGTTTACATTCTTCATTGGACAACGAAGTGAAACCGATAAAGGGGCCGGAAACTATGCAGCATTGATAATCAATAGACAGCCTGTCGTTCATGCTGTGGTCGATGCATTCCACATGAAACAGGACCTTCAGGTGATCTAACGAAAGATAACGTTTATTAGTTGTGAAACAAACGTGGACGCCTTTTTATAACACATAATTTATAATAAATATTTCATGAACCTATTATAAAGTTACAAAACGAAACAATATATTGTTTTCTTTTTACATTTTATAAAAAGAACCAACAGCTATAGCCTAAAACACTTGCAACGGTTTAAACAAAGATTGGCGATGGACAGTGAATTGACATGCATTACAAGTATGATAACATAATAAACATGTAGAAATTTCATATTCATTTCATAATTCTGCATGATATTATATAATGGTTGACATATAATAATAAATCAATTGTATCTTTTGTTTAATCCCTAGCTAATAGAAGCCAATAATAAAGCAAAAACTAAATTATAGATTTATTTGCCTGCAAATTAGTATACTATAGTACTGCATATTTATTACGTCGAATTTCATTGGATAATTGTAATTTATATGCTACATAATATACACGGTTGCTGTAAAATTTGTATATTTTGCATAATTTTAAGTATGCAATTACTCAGTATTAAATATTCGTTACTAAGACAATTTTGAATGACTATTTGGCATTGGCAGGTCACAGCGGCAAAAGGTTTGCTAAAACTTTATACTGGCTTTGTTTGTAACGTCACTTTCCTTTGGATACTCATGACATTAATGTAATTTTTTTTATACATGTCTACTTTCCAAAACAGAGTAAACCTGATGTTAAAGGATACCTGAAGTGTATAAATGGTTTTTTTTTAATTAAAATAGAAAAAGTAAGAATCTTTAAAGAAAACCCATCACGGCAAAATTAAAAATGTTGCAGGTTCGGTTTGATTGAAGCCAATAACCTTTCAGTAGTCTTTATAACAAATAATAAAACTAGTTCAATGTTCCCTGAACGACATTTTGTTTATGGACATATACAATTTATACATTAAAAATCAAATCACTGACTTGTTGTAATGGTCTGGAAATGATTGCGACCTGTGTACCAGTTACCTACAAGCATTTTGGCATAAAATAGGGACAATAATGATATCATTTATATTTGTATTTTGCAGGGCGGAAACATAGCAATAAAACGTATGAAAAAAGGCGAGCTTGCATGGATAATGTCATATGGTGGACATGTTGAAGGTCGATCAACCGTGAGAACAACTACATTTTCGGGTGTTCTTCTATATCCATAAAAATATGGACTTATTCGGTACATCACGTAAAAAAGTTAAATAAAAATAAGAATTAATATAAATTAAATAAATAGATTTCCAGAAAGAATTTAGAACTTCTTATTATTCTTGTCATATAACAAATGAAACACCCGTCTTTCAGTGTTACAAAACTTTTACATTGACTAAAGCACTGATGCCCTTGAAGCTTAAGCCTACAAAATAAACATACATGAAAATATGAAGAACAACCCTATGTCCATGAACTCAGAAAACACACATGCATGAACATAAAAACCTTAATGTCTTCATAACTCTATTTTTAAGTGCAATATAAACGCAGTGAATCTTATTTTAATTGTGTAACTGCATGACAATGAACAACTTATTAGCAGCTCTAATCATTTTCTCAAGTGATTTCACAGAATGTTAGTCAATTTCAGAACTTGTTTGCCATCATCGCCAACCTCGAAAATACATTGCTGTCTGTAACAGAACTTCGACCGGCCTGGTTTGTATGCCAGTAAAATTTTCAAGAAAATATATATGATATATATATATATATAGATTTTTGGCTTGCATGGCCTTCAAATGTATGAAGCTCTATAACTGTTTGAAACATTATTGTTTTAATTTTTAAAAAAATCCAAAATGCATAACGTATGAAATAAATATGTTTTGATATTTACTTAGAAGCGATTGGCGCACGTACAAAACTATTGCCTTACGGTTAAAATCCTACTTAAAACTGCAAAATATTTTTTCTTAAACAATTTACTCTGTCAACGTACAATACTCATGCGTACTAAATAAGAGACATGCTATGTTACAACTTATCTTACTCTTGATAATTTTAAGGAATATTTCATAAAATACAACTTTATACGTATTCTTTTACTGATGAATGTCTATGCATATAACATTAAATTCCTTCATTTATTTCAAATTTGTTTAATCAGCTTAAGTTGCCGATGATGGCAGAAACGTCCTGGAAATGGCTACCATTCTGACCGAAAATCAAGATCATTGTATTATTTATTTAGATTTTTAACTATAATTTGTTTGTTTTTTCTCATGATACGGTAGGGACATGCCACACAGTTACAGGACATTTATAAGTAGATAAGTTATGATGAAAACATTTAAGTGCACCTTATCTGTTATGCCACACAATGTTGAGTTCATAGACAGGCCTATTATTTTAAATGTTCATGTAAAAATGTCAAATCGCATTTATTTGAAGGACTTAGTTTGTTTTAAATTACGTACGTTTACCTTGTGTTATACTCTCCAGCGTATCGGTCAAATGTTCCACTACCGTTCACTTCAATTAGCTGCTAAAGTAGTGTACATGTGATGTTAAAAAGGATTCCTTCGATGCATCTATTACATTGAAACGTTTTCAATCTTACTTAACTACAAATGAAAGTTTAAAGTGTAAAGCTATATTATCTACTGCAAAAATAATAATATTGTTTGAATTTAAATAAACAAATACTTTCAAAATGTACGGAAGACTGAAGGTTGCAAAATGCCTTACAATACTATTGCGCAAAAGTATAAATCCCTACTTATGTATGTGGTCGCACGGTCGTATTAAATGTCTAATAAAATGAAAAAGCTTTCAGGAGCGTCCCAGTACCAAGTATGAATACATTTGAAATAAAGAGTTTTAAAAAGGTTTGTATGAACCTTTTTCACTTACATAAGTCAATAAGCCTTTGTCACTTTTAAAAAGATGTTATAAAAACCTCATTAGTACTCCCAGTTACAACTAAATATGACAAACGAAACAAAAACATAAAAAAGGACTGTGTTACTCCCAGTTACAACTTAATAGGATTTTAAGCTCAAAATTAAGAGAAAGAAGCCTAATTACAGCTTTGTTACTATAAATATGAGTTTTTAATGCCTTATTAGGGGAAATAAAATTATAATTAGAACTTGGTATGTCCTAGTTAGGAGTTAAGAAATACACTTTGAATGTTCTTATTAGGCCTGCAAAGTTTTTTGAAAATTCTAATTAGGTCAAAACAAAGATTTTATCATGTTCAGGGTCGGTACTGGAAAATGGAAACTACCACATATATCTCAAGGATGGGCTTAAAGATATTCAACATTTAACTGAAAATGGTAATACTTTAATAGATTCTATAGTAACGTCCGCAGATGTGTTCATACTTCGGTTATCATGGAACCTAATGTGAAGCGTTAGTTACATTCAATGAAACACGGCGTTTAGCCGACAAGTTGATTATTGTGTGTGAACTAAACGAAAACAAAAATGGTGAAACTAAATAAATTGGAATTTCGAATGGGGATCTAAAGTTAAAGAGTTATATTGAATACTTTTATCCCTCTATACCTATGATAGAGAGGCATGCGCATGTATTATGTAAGAAACTGATTGCCATAACCGATAATTGAAGTCTGTAAAATGTGTTCAAAACTCGTAACAACGAAAATTACATGGTCGCACACTTATGATCTACTAATTGGGTAAACACTTCTGATAGTACGTTGTTTGCTTTGACTTTGACGCGGTCTATAACTGACCGGATTATATAGCTTTGAAATAAAGTACACGATGTTTTTATGATGCAATAAAACATATGGACTCATCAGACTGGAAAAGGGAATCACGACTTAAAGAAAACGAAGATAATTAAAACAAGCAAGAATGACAATTATTTTATAGATGAGATATATAGAATGATAGGGAATAACATATCTTATCATTTTATAAAAGCAATAAACATGTCGGAACCATGAAAGTACGTGACAAATGGTGACTGTTTGACTTTCAAAATGGTAAAATTCCAAAATCAATTGATCTTGAAGTCTACGAATACAACTCACAGGCAGATTGATTACTAATTCATAGTGTACAATGTTTTTGACACTGCCATTCGTAATTGATTTAGTTAACGTGCATGTATTGAAATATAGAAAAATAAAATACTTTTCAATTGTAAATAATGGCGACAAGGAAATGTGATTTCCCGCGAGGCGTTTTCTCAGTGTAAAAACACTTCAAAACGAAGTTTTATCTCTCTTAACAGCTCTTGGGACATTTCTCTGATTATATTTACGTTCCAAATGCAACAAAATAATTTGGATTGGACTTGACTCTGTTAACAATTGTTTACTAACGTATTTAAACGCAAATGTATTCTGACTAATACGTATATTTTGTTGTTGACCTGTACTTCCAGTGCTTTGATTTATGTTTTACGAACGATTCTAAAAATGAACCTGGTAGTACAAGTTGAGATAAGACTGAATAAAAGGTCATTATCTCGTGTATGGGGTCAAAATCTATATCTCTTATCATTACAATTGGCTGGGTCTTAGTGTCCAAAGGGGTTAATGTAATTAGTATTTAAAAAAGGCTCAGTTAAGATTTTGGATCGGAGCGGTCGGTAAGATAAGTTTTGATTATTAATAGCAAAAATTAAGTGTTCATGAATCTTTAGAAATGACTTCATTTATTAATGTCTATGTGATTTGATTTCTATGAATAATTTTGATGATGATGATGATGATAATGATTATGGTGATGATGATGATGATGATAATATTGATAATGATGATGATGATGAAAGTGATGATGATAATGATGATAATGATGATGATACTGTTGATGATAACAATAACAATAATCATTATTATACTATTGTAATACATCTAATAGTAGTAGCCTAAAAGTAACAACAACAGAATGAAGAAATACATAAAAAACAATAATGATATACATGTACATGAAAGATGATTATAATGATGATAATTATAATAAATAAATAAGGTAATGATGATGATTACAACAAAATATTTGGTATGTCGTAAGCATACAGGACATGAACAGATTCATCCTCCTGATAAGCCTCTATGGCTGGGTGTCTGGATACTCTTTACATTTAACGAAAGAGCCAGATTCACCAAGTAATCTGCATGGTACCGTAAATATTCCAATAACAGAACGTACAAATGGATGGAAGATAATTATAACGTTCACCGGACCAATCTCAAACCTTGACGTGAGTACTCTTTTTATTGGCTTTTTGGTTGCTTTAAAACGGAAACAGTTTTATCTGAAAATAAAGGTTTTATGAGACGAGACATTTAAATGACAAATTGTGCGACTTACCGATGAAATCATAAAGAAGTTCTGCTATAAAATAAAGAAAGCATTGTATAGGAAAAGGTTTAACAAATATTTTACACAAAACAGTCAATACAGTCATCCTCTTCTAGGAGTATCATTTAATATAATCTTGCATTCTATGAAAAATTCTTACTACCTTGCTTAAGAGTAAATTTCAATCATTTGTCGACACACAAGTTTCGTCAATCAACAAAAGCAACGACTTTCTATCATATTTTTATTACATAAGCACGGATTAGAGTAACATTTTGTGAAAAATCAATATATATTGAATATGAAACGTATTTTGTGTCCTGTTTTTCAACATTTACAGATATGGGCTGGTACCGTCTTTTCGGAATCTAGCGACATGACAACGTTTACAATTGTTAATCGAGTAGATAACGGAGTGTTGGATACAGGAAGCAACCTGGATATCAGTCTGTATGGTGAGTTATTTAATTACTTACGATAATTAAAAAGCGCAATTTTGTAAAGAGAGCGGTCACATTTTGAAGATAACCCAATGGTAGCTTCAGTAGCCTGCCCTGATATTTCGTCACATCATATAAGTCACAGTCCCCAAATTGTATATATATATATTACAGATGATACTTAAATGTAGAATAAAGGTCAAAGCTACATTCGGTTGTCTAAAGGCAGCATCTTTTTTGTTCGTGATGTAAATCAAACTAAAGGACCTAAACTGAACGAATGGTGAAAGCAAGCGAGTGGTGGCATGCGCGAAATGAAAGCTCATCACTTCTTTAAATAGAAAATTAATACTTTGTTTTATTTACTATAATTGCAAATAAAATTAGTAAGGAAACGTCCATTTGTATGAGGAAACAACATGATGTAGGGGTTTTTTTTTGGATTTACAATGTACTTTTCGGCAGTTAATCATTTAAAAGTGTATGAGGAGAAAATGATAGAAGTCGGCTCTATCTGTGACAAAAACAAACGTTTTAACTATTCCGTTGTGACAAATTTGTAACAATAACAGATGTATCTGAAATATCTTACATTTAATTGTGTAATAGCAAACTTTTCTGCAGTGGTTTCCCTTTGCTTCGCTAAATAGGCTACTATCACACATTCTTTTTCTCAAATTTAGATTAAAATGTTTTGCAGAATAATTATTCTGATCGTAATGTATTTTGTTGTATACAGAATTATAGTATATGTATTCGCTACTAAATCGCTTAGATTGAATTAAGGAAAATAACAAATAATATATTAGTATACGGATGCGTTCGGTCCTATACGGTAACACAAAAGTGCAAATTGAATGCTGTCAAGATGTTCTTTAAGGAAACGATGCCATCGTAAACGTTACATGTTGGATATGGCGAAAGACTACTAATAGTTGTCTTCAAAATAAAGCCAGGTACCGTTGTCTATAGTAGCGTTACATTTGTGAAGACAGGAATATTAGCATAGCCAATTAAATCCTTGACAGGAGTTAGTTTAATACAACAGTGGGCGTTGTGTAATATTGTATCATTTTAGTATGAAAATTAGAGGTTTTGATTGCATGAATTATAAATGTGCTTTCCCAATCTTACAATCAAAATGAAAGGCAAAGAAATGTAATTAATAAATATATGTATAAAACATTTATCAAAACATTCAAGTAAGCATTAAACAAAACATGATCTCAATAAATAATATATTTTTAGTGAACTATACGGGATCAACAACACCAACTGCAAAAGCCGAATTTTATAATCTTGGACATGATCCGTTCGTACCTCCAACCGCCATGCCTAACAGTAAGTCACGATTAGCCTCTATTATATGGTGTCGTGTTCTGGCCATCATTGAAAATAATACTCTAATTACCGTTAAGATATTCATTTGTTTTCTTTTCGTAACAAATAACTAAAAGCAGTCCCAATAATATCTAGTCTAATTGTCATCGTTTTTAATCAATTCCTTGCATTTTTTTTTTCAAAGAAATTGCGTTTCAAGACCATTATTTTTGTCTGTGAATCGGGCGACCTGGGTTCAATGCCCGGATGATGCAGTTCTTTTTCGTTAAGATTGGTCATGAAATATTTTAAATGATCGTGCTCTGGCATGTACAGAAGCTATCAGTTCCTTGCTAAAATGAAGGCAACTAGTACTGGTAAACTATGGCTGAACTGTGCTCTGGAAAATTCAGTGTGGCTTACTGTCGTAATCAAGGATAAACTACCACCACCACTACCTCCTCCACCTCTATAAGAAAGACCCTGTTTGCATCTTAAAGAAAAAACACAGTCTACAGCGAAATTGTTATGTTATAACAGGTTGAAAATAAGCTTCCCACATTAATTTTAAGCGAAATATTATGAATATGTAACCGATACAAATTTAAATGAAAACAAAAGATAAGTTAGCATACTATTTTGTTATAAGCTGACGGTACTAAGTACAACTTGAATGAAGTTCTTGAGAAATCGATACTGTTTTATGAGGCACAGAGATCGGGGAAATTACCTCCTTCAAATCGTATACCCTGGCGGGGAGATTCGGCGTTACAAGACATGGGAGATAATGGCGAGGATCTTACAGGAGGATGGTATGATGGTGAGTTATCTTTCCTTTATAAATACGCTATTTAGTAGTCTGTAGTTTTTAAATGTCAGTTTAATATAGTTTAAAAACATTTTTATATTTATGAATAAAATTTAATTATTTTACCATTAACGTAAAGAATCCAAAAATGCATAGCTTCGTCCTCAAGTTGATCAAATCAATGATAAGATAGAATTTTAATTTACAAATAAATGTTCTTACGTAGACGCTATTTGGAACGTCACAAGACCACGGTGTCTTATTATGGCCATCGCGATACACACATAATTCAAAAAAACGAAAACACGAAATTATGATGAATAACGGCCACACGATGATGAAAAGCCAAAAGTATGATAACAAGGAAAACACGTTTAGTTTCAATATCCTCGCAATGACGAAGAAAAATAGTTTGTTTGTTTTTTTATGTAAAGTCTGCACAGTGATGATTAAATTCAATATACCGGCTTTTTCAAAGTAAGCGTTGCATATTTCAAAACCAGAACTAAATTGTGCTTTGTCTTTGTTTTATGAAGCGGGTGATCATGTCAAATTCAACTTTCCACAAGCTGGAACAGTCACCATGTTGGCCTGGGGACTACTTTCCTTCACGGACGCGTATGATGATGCTAACCAGCTTCAAAATATGTACGACTGTATTAGATGGCCTTTAGACTATCTAATGAGATGTCACGTGACTCCAAATGAATTCTATATACAGGTTTATTATGTTCAGTAGTTTATTTATAAAGAAATTTGTTCGAGCAATGCGAAATATGAATGCATTATAGTCAATGTCTTTTCTGAAACGTCCCGTGGTAATAAATTTATACTAGTAGTCGCTTGCCATGGCAATAAAAACCTGTTAGGTTTCATTTTCGGAATATATGTTTATTTGACAGCCCTTTTTTAATCTTAACAAATTTTGTTTGATATAACTGTTATTTCAGAGTTCTAATAATGTTACACACTTATTTCAAAAAAATATTCTTTCATCATGCATCTTGCAATATGCGTGTCAGCTATTTTGTTTTGTTCACTTCCAACTATTTTTAATAATAATGAACATTTCTTTAATATCAGGTAGGAAATGGTAACTTAGATCACCAGTTTTGGGGCAGACCTGAAAATATGACAATGCACAGACCTGCATTTAAAGTTGACGCGCAGCATCCAGGAAGTGACGTAGCAGCAGAAACAGCCGCAGCGTTCGCTGCGAGCTATTTGGTATTCAAGGATGGAGGTTGTATGATGAATGAATATCTCTTTTGAATTTAAAAAAACGTGATTTGGCTATTCTCGCAAAGGCTCTGACATTAAGATTAAGTTTTAATACAAATTTACTAATAGATTAATCTATATCTATCATATTCAATATTTTTGTGATACAAATTTGTGTAAGAGGTATTAAGATGTCATCATTTTAACAGTCTGATATTTATTATTTTACATCGTTATTATTCACTCACTACTTTTGACCTACTACTTTTTAAGTTGGAAGATAATTTTAAATAAAAAAGTTTTAGATCTATAAGAGGAAACTCGTTGTCACGTGTCTATTTTTTAATGGCGAAACTCAATGGTTTAAGTCAAGCGTTAAAAGATTTATGTTCATGTTTCAGACAGCGCATACGCAGCAAAATTACTACGTCATGCAAAGGAACTATTTACTTTTGCCACCACATATCGAGGTCGATATTCTGATTCCGTACCGGAAACGGGTCCATTTTATGGGTAAGGAAATTTATGTTTAGCACTTATAAGCAATATCGCAATATAGTTTATCTAAGCTATTAGTTAAAACATGTTACAACATTTGCTTATATAAACGTACATTCCCATATATAATTCGGTTTGGCGTGTTCAATATTAAAACATCTGTTTTCAGCTTTTTGCGATTCCTTTGTTTATCAAAAACAACTGAAATGTTGTAGCCGTGTTCATTTTGGAATAATAATGAAATGTTAGTATTAGATATTTTTTTTTGCTTATAACTGTTTGCAAACTGCCACTGCACTGGAATATAACATTTATCATCCATCAGTTAACGACTAAAATTGTCAAGTTTGTCGTAAATATACAATGTTATATTGATGAGCGTTACTTTGGAGGTAGGTTCTTTTCCGGAATTTATGTCTGAACTTTATGTCTTATTCATTTCATTAACATTTTCCAAACATGCCTTAAAGTTATAAAAGATCGTGACATTTTCAAGTGGACCTGCTATTTTTCACAGGAAATGCATGATATTCACATTATAGTAATTGTATTCCTTTTCACACTTAAGGACATGCCTTAGGGTTATGAAACTTTCTCAAATCTCAGGATTTCTATTGGTCAGTGTATATTCTGAGCTTGTTTTAGACTAATCAAATACTGGCGGTCTGAATTTGGAGCTTAGAAAATTCTTAATAATGTGAATATTGTAAGTTTGGGTTTCGAACTTCAGTTCAGATGAGGAGAGGGACGAGCTGAGTTGGGCTGGAGCCTGGTTGTACATGGCGACTAAAGAGGCCAAATATTTGCAATCGGCTGAGGCTAACTATATAGGAGGCGTGGCATGGGGTCATGGCTGGGGGTCAAAGATTCCAGGGAGTATGGTAAGAATAAATAAAATCTTTATCAAGTTTAAAACATGTGATAGGTCCTTTAACATTTGATACGTCCATTTGTAGCATTTAAATAAATAATTGTAAGTGCAAGTACAAGTCAGAAATTAACATGTAGGAAATTACTATATGTACTAAAATACACTTAAGAAATCTCATAAGTGTGCGTAAATTTATTGTCTCATATGTGCAGTAAAATTGGTACGATCATGCCCTTATCTTCATTAAATACAGCTGAGAGACGTGCTATGATATCCCAATTATTATTATTATTATAATTATTATTATTATTATTATTTTTATTATTATTATTATTATTATTATTATTATTATTATTATTATAACATAATTCTAACAAGCATGCCCAATAAATGTGACATTGCGTTATAAGACAATGTCACAAACGAATACATGTATATTATTGAATATTATAATATCATGTATCTCAAGTGTATTAATTGAAAGTTCCAGCATGATAGGGTTGATTATAAGATATTTATATATGCTCACTTATAAGATTTGTTAAGTGTATATGTAATAACTATGAGGTAACCGTAACACTTCAGTCAAATTATAAAAATTATTATAATAATAAGTCATTTTGCATGTTCATCTTTTTAAACCTTACCACGTTAAATATCTATAATTGACTTGTCTTGACAATATCATTTTTTATCTTGATCCTTTGTTGGAAAACTTTCAAAATGATTATTTACTGACTGAATCTCGATCAGTGCAGTCCATGATCAGACGGCACGTCATAGATGTATCGCCTGATCTTGGTCTGTACGGGAAAAATCTTTTGCCATCATCAGGAAAAGGTTTAATGTGGCTGTAATAAAATAAAAGTGTGAGCGCTACAGAGTTACTTATATACACTAAGATCACTTTCATGTTAATGAACAAAATAAATAATTATTTAAGGACATGTATGTATATGTTTTAATCAGAGTTACGCTAAGAACAATCAAAATGTTCCTATATTATCATATTGATATTTCATTCCGTCTTCAGGTTTTACTTTACAAGTTGACTAAGAAAGACGTCTATAAAAATGACATTGAAGCTACTTTTAAATCCTGGCTTCCTAATGGAACTGTGCCCTACACACCGAAAGGATTTGCTTTCAGAAATAAATGGGGAAGTCTTAGACATACAGGTTAGTGAAACACGACTTGAAGTTAAAAAAAACACCTGTTTTGTTCACTTACTAAATAACCTAAAATGGAAATGAAAGTATTGCCACGAGGATGTAAACACTGTATAAAGTTGGGTTAACTACTTGTATTTTATATGTAATATCAATGCTATTTTAAGTAATTTCTGAGACCGAATAATTTTAGTCACTTATATCGAACATAACATAGCAACTTCAACAATAAGGCGGACTCGAGCTGTGTGACCTGGACGAAATGTTTCAAAGGAGGTCGTGGGAAGTCATTTATTTGATCGGAGTACTATTATTGCCTTAAATAACGCAAGAAGCGTCTTCAAATTATAGTTTTGGTATGTTTCCATATTATGAGGTTATTATAGAGTATTGCGAACACTGCTGAATTATGTTGAACGAGTACACAGCTATCACAACTATACTGGACGAGGCGCTAGCCGAGTCTGATATACGTTTTGCAGCTGTGTACCAGTCCAATAGTCTTCAGTATTTTTCTCAACCATTTTTAATGACTTCTTTATTTTGCACCGCCAATTTTTGACGGAATTCCGTTACTTCAATTACAATAAGGATTTTATATGGATTTTGGACTCTCAGACATGACACGAAGCTAGATAGGGTGCGCTTTTCATTTTTATATGAACGTTTTGGACTCTGAAAATGAAAACGAGGCCATATGGGGTGTGAATTTGATTTGATATGAACCTATTGCAATTTGGAAATAAAAACAAGACAAAATTGATAAGATTGGATCTAATAATGATTTATCACCTGATGAAAATTATGATTGGTTATATTTTATAAGCTATGAAACAGAGATTGATTATTGCCGATATGACTTAAAACCCTGGGAAATGTTTTCTTTTATTTCAGCAAACATGGCCTTCATAGCAATCATGGCTTCCTTGGAGAACATTAATTCAGATGCGTACAGACAATGGGCGGAGACTCAGATAAACTACATGCTTGGTGATGCTGGCAGAAGCTATGTTGTTGGGTTTGGTAATAACCCGCCAACACACCCGCATCATCGAGCAAGGTAAAGATTTGGTTAGAATTGCCGGTTGCCTACTAAACAGTGGTTATGTTAAAATGTTATATATGGTTTGTTTTATAAGTTTTATTAGTGGCGCTAATAACTTTAAATTTATTTCAGCGTATGTCATTTGTAAAAGATTTGGCCACATATTTAACTTTATTTCTGATTTCTTACTCTAAAATTGGACTAACATGAAAAACATAATTGTCTTTATTGATGTATTTTGTAGGAACAAGAACACAAATATCATTGTGATTATTACTTGTTTTGTCAATGACCAAATAGAAATAATCATTATCCACATTTTCACCTTTTACTACCTAAACCAACCTACGTTTTACTTTAAATATAGCTCATGTCCAATGTGGCCGGCGCCATGTTCGGATTACAACCTGAACACGGACGCCCCCAATCCGCACGTGCTTTACGGAGGCCTTGTTGGTGGACCTGGTGAGAAAGATGAATATACAGATGTGAGGACGGATTATGTCAGAAATGAAGTAGCTATTGACTATAATGCAGGTTTTCAATCGGCTGTGGCAGGTATGATGCCAATCTGATCTCCTCGGCTATTATGTGTCGCAAAATACCTCTTCACATAATAGGGCGGCATATTTGAACTTTTGTCAGTCCCATAATTCTGTCATTTTGTTTGCTTACTTTTTGATATCAGTTGTAAAATTTCATTTCAAAATTCACTCATTATGTATTGTTTTATCCATCAATTTGAATCGGGTCAACAAATAATAAAAGAGGGTATCACAAAGAGAAATACTGAGGGATATGATATTTGTTACTTTCTCGGAAAGAGCCGATGTATTACGATTTTGTATAAGGACACCTGTTTGTCACGAGGTGAGGAGAATGAACGGCTTGAGCGGAAGTAGAACCAAAACTCTCAAATACCGTTGTCAAACTTTAATGACGTAGCTATAGTAAACATTTGTGTCGCCTATAAACAAACAGTTCTATATATGACATGTTATATTAACAAATATTAGACCTATAATAAAGTAGATTGTAATAAAAGAAAACTGACAAACCCGTTCATGTGCTTGCGGCAAAATTAGTATGAACCCAGAGTTTCCTTACACAATATTTGCACAACCCGATTCTTGTTGTCAAATCCACCTTAATAATTGGTTAAACAAGTACTTATACCGGTAGTAAAACAAAATTGTTTTGTTTCAATTGCTAATTACACGTACCACTAACTGGAATGGATAAAGCTGTTCCCTTTATTGGTATAGATATACTGACGTCCATCTTTATTTATTTCTTCTTTTTTAATATTATTTCCAATATCGTATAACAATATTAAGTATTACAGAAGTGTGTAATTTTCATTATATACAATTAATTATACTACTTGCTGACGGGATATACTGGAAAATATAGCCTAGCCGAGGGTTATACTTACTACAGGAAGGCTATATTATCCCGTATATTTCGTCCGTATTGATATAAAGAATTTATGATAAAGCAAACATTATTGCCATTGACGACAAGTTCATAAAAACCCAGCAACCTTAGAAAGCGCGGGAAGAGTACGTATGTAACATTCGGCTACGGTAGCGCTGCTTAATAAAAAGTATTTTAGGGTTCTTCATAACGGTTTAGTATTTTACATTTTTTAAAGTAATGACATTTGAATCGAGAAATATGCCATTAAGAACAAAGCGAATTTAAAAAAATGTCCACACATGTAGTTACCGTCTACGTTGTAGGATTTTAGTGTTATTTGTGCGTGCTTCGGTTCTTCACGGTGTATACGGCATACTATACAATGTGTTCGAGAGAGTGAGAATTCGAGAAAATAACTTGCTTTGTTATAAATGTAATCGATTCACAATTTGTATTTCTTATCTTTCAGGTCTTAAGGCAATGTACTTGAGAGGTGAAATGCCATAACTTTATATGATTTAAGGCATGATAATGTAAAGGATGTGAACAGTAAATAAAATATTTATGAATTGAATAGAAATGTTGTTTTTATATGTTAATTTTTCGTTTCGGACTGGACAGTAGGAAATCATTTGAACAAATCAAGGATTTTTATTTATACATTTGTATATGAAATTTTAAGTTTATCTTATATCCCATACAATATCATAATTACATCGTCGGATGCCCACGGTTAATTAACATGTAATATAACATAAATGTTACTGGTTCCACCGTAGGTATCCGACGATGCATAATTATTAGCATCATTTGAATGAATTTTGTACCTTAATTGATATCACAAAGTCTAAACTCTTTTAACTTGCATAAACCAAATTTTAGCGACTTAAAATGAAAGTTATTGACTAAAGAACTTCTTTAACTAATCAGATAATTAATGAACCATATACTTGACATCGGATAAATGATTTTAAAGAAAATGTTTAGAACATGTTTTTGACCAAATCACCATTCTCCCAAATGAGTCTGCACCAACCAGAAAATTCAAGTGGTCCGACGGACCAGCGGCTTTTAAAATTAGGTGGTCCTTGCAAAAATCTGGTGGTCTCGGACCAACGGACCACCGCTAATGTCGAGGCCTGATTTATTGATATAACAGGATGGCATTTATTTCGGTAATGACACTGTATTTCTTCGGTAACGTAGATTTCAGATCTAACAATGTAACATATTGGCTGCAAATTAATAACAAATGTCTGTAAAATATATCAAAATCTGTAAATTCTCTATCTAGAGGGACTTTCTAACCAAGGAAAAATCAAAGAAGTTGGGTACCTTGCTAATTTTCAGTAAATTTTTTCAAAGTTAAATATTCGTAGAAAGCAAAAATAGTCAATTTTGAAAATGATTATTTTATGTCTTCATTCAAATGATATATATCCTATATAATATATGAGAGGTCGAATGCATACACAAATTTTGTATTAGCATTTTTTTTTTTTTTCTCAAAATATTCAACTTTCCACTTTCTTAATATTTGAAAAATTTAGTACTAAACAGTTCGATATTTATCCCCATATAGGATGTCACGTATGTTTTATTTTATTCAAATGCAAGTAAAGGTTGAGAAAACAATTTCATTTTTTGTAAAATAATTTATATTTATGGATATTATTTTAACATTATTATATATAGAATGAAATACGGCCAGTAAGCTCTTTGCAGAAACGAAATAGTTGTTGCTGAGAACATCAATATCTTGTAATATATTTTTAACATTTCTGCTGGTACATCAACATATTATTAACATATCTTTCCTTTGTAAAAACAATTTTGTGTCTTCTTACATCTAATACAAGGTAACCGTTACTAACAGGCATGCTAATCCCAACTTTAACTTTAATTTTCAAAAATTGTTGAATTGTAAGTTGGAGTAACGTATGTTTCACAATCGCTTATTTATGAACTTTATTACGGAATTTAAACTTACATGTAAAATCGACTTTTTTATTTAGGAATCAAATGCACATCATTCTATTGTCATAAAAATGCAATTTTATGTTTTGATATATGCATGTGTAAACAATATAAAGTCTGTTTGATAAAAGTAACGTTTGTTTCACTGTGGTTACTTAAACAAGTAAAAACACGACCAAAGTTAACAAAATTTACTTACTAATGTCAAATAGAACTTAATGTTGATGTTATACGTGCTTTCTGACTTCAATTTCCCTTTTGATAAACTTACTTTAAAAAGTTGATAACGTATGTTTCTGTAACGTATGTTTTATTTTTACACTGAAAGTGGGTTAAAACTGACGCAAGACTGTTTTAGCCGCCATAATTTGTGGTTAATATATCAGAGTTACACACATGTTAATTTTCTTTCTCGTTTGGATTCTTCTTTGAATGGATTGGCTCTTAAATAATGGTTCTTGGAATCGTAAAATAACGGATTAATCGATAAATTGAAAAAAATATTATTTTGACACATGATAGGCAAGACATCTTTAAACTAAACATCTAACAAATATTCCTACGGTTTAGTGGTATCGGTCTGTTTTGAAGATAAATTGGTGTCATTTGTGATAAAAATTCATTTTGTATCTAATGTATAATAAAAGGGACTCCACTGAGTTTTTTTTTTACATGACGGGACTGGAAATATTTTTTGATATAAATGAACCGTTTCATGTAGGTCTAGACAAAAAACTTGTATGCAAAATTTCAGATCATTCGTTCGATTGTGAAAAATGATGTAAAACTGAAATACTTTGCAACACTTTTCACTCAAATTAGGATAAAATAGCGCACAGATACGATTTTCAAATTATTCTGATTATATTTCTGTATATTTCTTAAAATATTTTGCTGATATCTTTTTCTTTTTAATGCATAATGTAATCTATTAAGGAAATTCAAATTTTATGTTTTTAGGCTTTTCTACCTCAGTTATCCTAACCAAAGTGCCATCAGGTGAATTAGTTGAGACCATAGGATAATTATTTATTTATTTATTATTATTATTTTGATAATCATATAATGTATATCACTCATTAATATATTTTGATAAATGTAAAAGATAAAAAGCATAAGATAACTTACATGTATATGGAACGTAAATCTCTCATTGATTTGAGTCTGAGAAGCCCTAAACACGTCATAGTAATAATAATGATGATGGTGATATTGATGAAAAATAATGATGATGATGATAATAATAATAATGATAATAATAATGATGACAACGACGACAACGACGACGATGATGATGATAATGCAAAATGTAATTGTTATTTTATTTTTGAAAGGTAGCAACAAAGCTGAAGTGGATAATGAATGTATGTACAAATACATAGTCTTACTATTAGACAACAACAGTAACAACAAAAGTCACAACAATAACAATATATAAAATGATAATGGAAGTCACATCAAATCGAAACACAGGAGAAAATTTAATGTATTGTAATGATGTAAAACAAAAACAGACAACTGGCTACAAATTTGAAATATTTTCTGGTTACAACAGTTGGTTACAACAGCTGGACAAAATCTTTCAATATGTTTAAAAGCATCTGTTGCACGGCAATTTAACCACTGAAATAGATAATTACTTTTATCTATCATTATTTTCTCTAAAAGGATGCTAAAATGTATCAATAAGATATAAGTCATACATATTACACTGTTTGGAACTGCATGAAATATAGACTTCTAGGTTGTTTGAGTAAATGCTTTACATACGCGGATCTCACTTTGAAATTATGCATTTCTGATGCTGTCACCAAACGTTTGTAGGAAAAACAAGAAACTAGATAAATATAGTCATTTTTTGTTTCTGTTGCCCTGTTCTTAAAAATGCCGATGCTTATCTCATATAATGTCATAATCAATGCGTGGATGTAGAATATTTTTTTTTTTGCCCTTTCTTTTGGTTAGAACACCTTATGTCGTTTAAATTACCTGTGAGCAATTTCCCCAATTAAACGCCCACGTGTCTTTTGGAATTCTAGTAGTAAAAATGACTACATCAATTCACATCTGTGGGCAGCCTTTGCCTTATAAATTATAAACAAAACTTTCATATTATCAAAAATATTATTAGCTTTGGCAATGATTACACATAGGAAAAAAGACATTGCGCGCATACGCGTTCTGGATAGGACAAACGACAAATCAATGTAATCGTGAAAAATAAATATAATTACTATTGTTAAACATTTTACAAGTATTCTGATCAAATCCACGGGGTATACTAACAGTTGATGAAATAAATGGTGGTGCAAAGTTTACACGAAGCATTTTTGTCTGAAATTCATGACATGTTCAATTCATACATGTGACATACATTGACATTCCTGTATATATGATAATAAACTGGCAAAGAATTGAAGGACATCATGAAAGAGTGACCCGTATATACGCATTTCTAAAGTATTTCTGTCCGGCATTTTCAACCAATATCGCAGCATGCATATGAAAAGGTTTCCCGAGGCGAAAAATCATGGACAAGTAGTTATTTAAAACCATTATTATTGAATGGAATTGATAAAACATGTCTGCAGCCGCTTAGAATCGACCATGTCACTTATTCAAAAGACTTAAAACTAATTATTGTATATTTCATGTGAATGATTGTTTGCAAATTTATCTTTGGAGCAACAATTGTGTTATAATTTCATACATATCCTCCATACATACACATTTAAGTATATATACATAAACAAATGGTTAATCAAATTCATTATATTTCAGTCCCATCTGATACACTGAGTGTAAATTTATATTATATTGATTGTTCACCTTTGAGATATAATTAATAGGAAATAGAAAAATAAATGTGTTTCTCTATTAGATTTTAATCATGACAATATTTGTCAGTTAGTAAAAAGGAAATAATCGTGTTCTGGAAACAATATGCGTAATGAAGAGGTACATACGGTTTTCAGTATTACTTTATTGCACACTGTTATTAAACACGGTGTTATGGTGGTTCAGAACTCAGGAGGAGAATACATCACAAACGTTAACATTGGACATAAACAAGTTGAAGAACCCAGCAAGCACCCTAAGAGTAACAGTCGCAAATTCAAGAACTGATACAAAGTCTCTCGGACACAAGCCATTTCGTGGCATACAGTGGCACTGGAAGAATTCTTTAAAAGATACATACATGTTGAAACTAAATAACAGTGAAGAAATTTGTGGAAAAACATTTATTGGGTATAATAAAGATTTCGCTAAACTTGAAAACGTTGTTATTGACCCCAGTAAGGGCAAAGGAAGACGAGGTGGTGAAAATATATCCGAAGTTCTAAACCAGAAGGAACGAGATGAATATTTTGTGCTAGAGCCTGGATACTTTCAGGTGGTGCAATGTAAGAAGCATGTGAACTTTAACTTTACCTCACGATCACATTTGAATTCATGGCATGACGCTGTTGGTACAGGGGCAATGCCAAGGTATGGTGAAGTAATACCGGGATGGACGATTGCTGTAATGCGGTATGAATATGTTAACCTTTACCATACCATGACAGACTTTTACAATACATTCCTCGTTGCCAAGGTATTTAACATCACGCAAGGTCACATGACAATTTTATGGATAGATGGACATCCATGGGGTGGCCTTGATACAACGTGGGAAACATTATTTGGAAAAGTTTTACGGGTTGGGGATATAAAGAAACCGTGTTTATTTGAGCACATGATATGGGGAATTATGGGTTACCACAGTCCGTTGACTCGACATGCTGCTTACAGTGCACCTTATTTAGAAGAGTTTAGAAAATACTTTTTAATATCTCATGGTATCACAAAAACACGTTCTCTAAATTGTAGACGATTAAAAATTACAGTGATTTGGAGACGGGATTATTTAGCTCATCCACGAAAACCTTCTGGTCTTGTAACAAGAAAAATAAAGAATGAGGATGAATTTTTAGAAAAAATAAAATCAACTTTCGTGGGGCATGATGTCAGAGGCGTTCAAATTGACCTGTATAACATGACTGAACAACTTGAAATGATTGTAGACACGGACATTCTCGTGGGCATGCATGGTGCCGGATTGACACATGTCCTATTTTTACCGAAGCATGCCGGGGTTGTTGAACTATGTCCCAGTTACTGGTCATCGGCTAATAAACATTTTGTTACATTTGCTAGATGGAGAAAGATTCCTCATTTGTTATGGAACAACAAAGATCGGAAAAGAGAAATAATGAGACATTCAACAATAGTAGATGTTGATGCTGTTACAAATTTGATAGTGAAGATGAATGCGACAATCTGTAGTGAATCATTAAAACAGACTCATAAGAGACATAACATTGCATGATTAGTATGTTTAAAATATGGTAAATGTCCACAAAGATGTGTATTTGTTTTTTTTTCTTCATATCACGGGCTATTATATGTTTATTACATCTTATTTCACTATATATACTTTCTCTGCCTTTTTCAAGGCTCATTACGGTTAAAACGACTTTAACATTTATATATATAAATTTTAAATTCATAGAAGATAAAGATTTATGTTTTATACGCGATTTTGGGCAGCCGATTATAAAGTCGTCAAATTTTTTAATTGTTTAATCTTGATCAAGATAAAGATGATTTTCACATAGCAATTATTACGCACCCCCACCTGGCCGCCATGTTGAAGGTCATTTCCAATATATCATATGCTCATCTCTATAAATTCTATCATCTTCATGAAAGCTGATAAAAAATTCACATTTTTTTATATTGGTGTTTCAATAATATAAACTTATTTATTTAAAGAATTTGACAATGCACCTAAATCAGCAGTTTTTATTGACTTTTTCATTTAAATTTTGTCAGTTATATTTTATAGAATATTGACCCCCAAAATGGCTGCCACTTTTGGCAAAGGAGGTAATTATTGTGAAAACCGGGAATTATTTATAGTTCACGTTATGACATTAATCTGTCTGATACACATTGGTGGATTACAATAAAAACTTATGTAAAATGTATTAGTTGAAAAAGATGACATGTCAATGTGTGTGGTTAAATTTATTGTTATTCTAATGGAAGGATTGGGTAACTACCAAGCAGTTAAAAATAACTTTTTTTCACTGCTGTGCAAATAACATTTCAAACTTAACGCAGCACGCCTGCAGATTCCAGCTAATATTCATGATTTTTTTAAATGTATTTAAAAAGAAAATAAAAGAAAAAATTTGTACACTTCAAACAGCACTAACAATCCACGTAAGTAACCAAAAAAGAAGTAATTGTAATTATAGTAAATAAAATGTACATGATTTGAATGAAATTGTTGCTTTCACATGTTAAGTTTTCTTTTCGGGGTGGATAGCAGGAAATCATTCTAACAAATAAAATAGTGTTATCTTTAGTAAGCGCAATCTGACTTAAGTTAAAATCTACTTATTTCTTATATGTAAATCTGATGACCACCGAATATGTTTAACCTTCTTTATACAAAAAGCTATTTTGAGCCATGCCATCAAACCTGTTCTTATATTAGAAGAAGTATAAAAATAGCGTTATCCATGGAAGTTAAACAAATTGTTGATATTTATTGGATATGGAAAGTTTGAAGTAATTTTAACAAAATTACATGAAATAATAGAGTCAATATTTAATGGGCAAGATTTTCTTGCATATCAGACTGGCGTTTCCGTTAGTTTTACCCATGCCGGAAATTTCATCTGGCATGGGGGGTTCCAGATGAGTCGCGTGCTGTACAATGGCACGATAAAGATGACGTCATTTTACCGTTATGAATGATTTTGTAATTCATACGATGTTGAATGAAAGTAGTTACAGTTGTAATGATATAAATTTTCATTGAAAATAAAGATAAAGAATTTAAAATATAATGGAATATGGTAGAACATGCAAGAAAAAATATCTGACATATGTTTGCGGTTCGGATCGGAATATCCGTCCCTCGGTGACCCGCCCATGGGCGGTAACTCGACAAGCCTCGTTACCGCCCAATGGGCGGGTCACCTCGGGACGGATATTCCTATCCGAACCGCAAAATATGACAGATATTATTAGTCTTGCCAGTTTACCTGTCGGATATATGGACAACGTCATTTTTGTTCTTGAAATCGTCAAAATAACGTACACAGTATTGGTTTTCCAAGGATTAAAATTTAAAACCGCATCACTTTCAAAATTATGAAAGCTCGCTGATGATTGGCTGTGTAAAAGGTCACCAGAAATGACTTCGTTGTGGTCACGGTCAGATCTAAAAGCGGAGCATTATTTATAGCTGATTTTAATCAGATTGTAGTAAGTGATTCTTGGAATCTTTTATATAAAGGTTGAATAGATAAATTAAAAATATGATTTTGACACTAGAAACGCAATGCATCTTTGAAAGTGCAATGTGTATAATTATATTTACATTATAATCTATACAAATAGTTACTCTTTTTTCAAACACAAAAACAAGAAGACAAATTTGATTTTCACGATTTATTTACCCTCGTATTTTAAGGTTTGGCGAAATTTTATCAACGGCTGGTGAAAAAAAAATCGATACGAAGTTATGTTACATGTATTCGGCCACGTAATATTATGATAGAATATGCCTAACGCAAATTCAATAAATAAATGTGATCTTTATAAGTTAGGAAAACGTAAATCATGCTTCAAATCATATAAATTGCGGATCTATGTTCCATATAAATGAAGTGAAGTTAACTTCATGTCATATCAATGACAGCGCCGTTAACGGAATGCTGATGGTCAAGAATGTCTTTATTAGTTTTAACCTCTTCCAAGGATTATAAGTACCAGACAACAATTCTCTTTCCAGCCATGACGAAAAGCTCCAATATTGTAATACCCTGAAAAATACAATAAACTTTCGACAGCTGATGTCATATGTGTGTTGGGAGGGAGGATTTGGTTATTATTGTGTACAATAAAATAATTCAAGTTTAAATGATTTGAAAATTTAAATGCTACCTTCTTCGAACTTTTTATCCGAAAGTCACCGCTACCACGCCGCTTGGCTTCTTATATAGGCGTTAAAAATAACTTATTAATTTTGAACCAACCAGTGGGCCCGTCATAAAATCTGTTTTTTTTTGGATGGAATAAAGATTCAATCTTTAGCGATTGAACTGTGTAGTATTTTCAACATATAATTGTGCCATTTGTGATCACAATTTATCTAAAAATTAATAACTGTATGTGAAGGTGCAAGTCAGTCTGTATAAATGTATCTACATATATCTACAGAGGCTTGCCGCATAATAAGTATCCTTTCGATAGTGTAATAAGATGAACTCTGAGTTGAGACCATAGGTTATCTTATGCATGTGGAGATTATTTGGATAATTATACTGTATAATGTATATCACGCTTTAATATACTAGTATATTTATATCGATGTTAGAGATATAAAGCATAAGACAACATACATGGATATTGAACATTAATCTCGTGCGCTTTGATTTTAGCTGAATGAAGCCGCGCAATCACAAAACCAACATAGTGCGTTTGGATCCAAGATGTTCGCTATCAGCTCCTTTAATTGTAAAAAGGTTTGTAAGCGAACAGAATAAGGTTTGTAAGCGAACAGCATTCATCCTGATCAGATTGCACAGATGCATGCTGGTCGATAACGCACTATGTTGGTTTTGTCATGACGCGGTTCAGTTTATTTGTATGTGCTTAAATGCATCTGATGCACATAAAAATTTACAGCTGAACTTCATCATTAAGTTTGTTTTATCTTATGTTTTCCAAAAGAACACTAAAATATATCAAAAAGATGTTAGTCTTACGTATGACACGATTAAACTTCTAGAAAAATGTAGAATATAAGGTTGTTTGAGTAAATATTTAAGATAAGTACCTCACTTTTAAAATCATGCATTTCTAATGTTTCCACTGATCGTTCTTGTACATTTTACATAGTAAAAATATATAAATGAAACAAATTAAGTCATTCTTTTGCTTTTTGGGCTCCATGAAAAAACAACAGAAATGCCGATGCTAATTCATAACTTACGTCTTTTTCAATCCATTTTTGTAGCATGTTTTCCTTCCTTTCCTTGGTAATAACAACTTATGTCGAGTGTAATCTGCGAGCCATTCAATCCAACTAAAACGCATCAGTGCATCTTGTATGTATACATTTACAGTAAAAATGCCTATATAAATCCAAATATGTTGGCATCCGTCGCCTTTTAATTTATTGAAAAACTTTCATATTATCAAAAAGAAATTAGTCATTTATCAATGAGACGTAGGGTAAAAACCAAATCGATGAAATCGTAAAACAATAAATTTTATTTCTGTTAAACAATTTAACAAATATTCTGATTAAATTCGTAGGCTATAGTAACAGTTTATGAACTAAATGGTGATGAAACGTTTACAAGAATTCACTTATTTGAAATTCCTAAAATGTTAGATTTATACATTCGGTACTGACTTAAGATCATTCATGTACACAAAATGTTAAACTTGCAATAAATTAAATGAAATCATTAAAGTGTGATCGAATGGAATTGATAAAAAAACTTTCAAGAATCGGCCATATCACATATCAATAAAAATTATGACAAGTAAATATACTACATGTATTTCCTGTGACCGATCAATATCAAACTTATCTTTACAACAAGAATTGCAATATAATTTCAATCATTTACTTTATACATACGCACATAGATGATATATATAAAAAGTAGTGATTTAAACTCAATATCTTACAATCCCATCTGATACACTGACGGTTAACTTTATATTGATTTTTCATATATTATTATAAATGCACAGAATCGTTTCACTCTCGGTTATAATTAATAGCTACTGAAGAGAGAAAAAATTGTGTTTTCACGCTTGATTTAATCATGGCAATATTTGTCTGTTAAAAATAAGTAAATAGGCGTGTTCTGGAAGCAATATGCGTAATGAAGAGGTATATACAGTTTTCAGCATTTCTTTATTGCACATTGTTGTTAAACACAGTGCTATGGTGGATCAGAAATGAGGAGGAGCACATTTTACAACCTTTGGACACTTACAAGTTGAAAACCACAGCAAGTACCATAAAAGTGACAGTGGCAAATTCAAGTACTGATGATACAAAGTCTGTCGGACACAAGCCACTTCGTGGTATACAGTGGCACTGGAAGAATTCTTTAAAAGATACATACATGTTGAAATTAAATAAAAGTGAAGAGATTTGTGGTAAAACATTCATTGGGTATAATAAAGATTTTGCTAAACTTGAAAACGTTGTTATTGATCCCAGTAAGGGAAAAGGAAGACGAGGTGGTGAAAATGTATCTGACGTTCTAAACCAGAAGGAACAAGATGAATATTTTGTGCTAAAACCTGGATACTTTCAGGTGCAATGTAAGAAACATGTGGACTATAACTTTACCTCGCGTTCACATTTGAATTCATGGCATGACGCTGTTGCTATAGGAGCAATGCCAAGGTATGGTGAAGTAATACCGGGGTGGACGATTGCTGTAATACGGTATGAATATGTTAACCTTTACCATACCATGACAGACTTTTACAATACATTCCTCGTTGCCAAGGTATTTAACATCACGCAAGGTCACATGACAATTTTATGGTTAGATGGACATCCATGGTGCGGTCTGGATACAACGTGGGAAACATTATTTGGAAAAGTTTTACGGGCGGGGGATATAAAGAAACCGTGTTTATTTGAGCACATGGTATGGGGAATTATGGGTTACCACAGTCCGTTGACTAGACATGCTGCTTTTAGTGCACCTTATTTAGAAGAGTTTAGAAAATACTTTTTAATATCTCACGGCATCACAAAAACAAGTGTTCTAAATTGTAAACGATTGAAAATAACAGTAATTTGGAGACGAGATTACTTGGCCCATCCTCGAAAACCTTCTGGTCTTGTAACAAGAAAAATAAAGAATGAGGAGGAATTTTTAGAAAAAATAAAATCGACTTTCTTGGGGCATGATATAAGGGGTGTTCAAATTGACCTGTATAACATGACTGAACAACTTAAAATGATTGTAGACACGGACATTCTTGTGGGCATGCATGGTGCCGGATTGACACATGTCCTATTTTTACCGAAGCATGCCGGGGTTGTTGAACTATGTCCCAGTTACTGGAAAAAGGACAAAAAACATTTTGTAACATTTGCTAGATGGAGAAAAATTCCTCATTTGTTATGGTACAACAAAGATCGGAAAAGAGAAATAATGAGACATTCAACAATAGTAGATGTTGATTCTGTAACAAATTTGATAGTGAATATGAATTCTACAATTTGTGGTGAATCATCAAAACACAGTCAAAGGAGAGATAAATTGCACAATTGAGTTAAAATGTGGTTAATTTCCGTAAATGCATGTGCAATATATGTGTTTCTTTTTATTAAATTTCATTTCAATATATATGTACATGTATTGTATGTCTTTTTGGCACAGGTTATTCCGGTAAAAGAAAACAACAGCATTTGCATATTTATATTTTTTTCATTTCAAATTCAAAGAAAATAATGAGTTATGATTAATGAGACTTTTAGATAAAGCAATGTTTATTTATATCTTAATTAGGCAAAACTACAATTGTCAAACATCTAAGTTAATCCTTGGTATTCATTCTCGGTTCAAGCATTGAACATGACCCTAATATGTTTTATCCGAATGATTAGACCGGAGGATTAGAATAAAAATATTTAACACAACCTATGTGTTAACGAAATAGCACATGCCATTGTGTGTGGTTAAATTTATCTTTATTCAAAACGAAATATTAGGGAACTATCAGGTAGTACCAAATATATATCTTTTACTACTGTACATACTTAGGTTACATATCAGGATGCCTCCAGTTTCTCTTGTTTTCGTTAAAACACGTATTTAAAAGTAAAATATCGTGAACTGATGAAGGAAATAAATTTCACAATGCAAATGACACTAACAAATATGTAAACATAGCCCTACTACTTTAGTCACGGTGTGGAAATATGCTGAACTATATTATAAATACTGCAACATCTATTAAATGTAAATTATTGCTTCAATGTTGAATCTTATGACTTTTCCTAGATTCATAGAACATTTTTCTCAAGGTTGAAAGATTTTTCTCATCTGGAGGCAAGCAGCTTTTTAAAATTAATATGAATACATTTAACCATTTACGTTTAAAACAGCCCAAAAAAGAGCGGCGTAGGAGCGACTGAAGCTGCATAAATTGTATTAATATTTTTTTTCTAATGAGCGTCTTATTTACGCTTGTTTTTCGTCGTTGACCTACATTTCCTAGGCACCCAGATAGACGTAAAAGAATGATTAATATAAAAGCTTTGTGGAAATATATTTCAGAAATTCATTTATTATTTAATATATTTATCGCGTGTTTTTGATCTGTTTAGTATATTTCATATATAGATGTGGCAAAACGTTTAGTATATTTCATATATAGATGTATAAGGGACAAACCACTTATACATAGGGTATCCATTGTAATGATTATAAACATGCTAACTGCAAAAACAAAATACAGTTAAAATATCACCAATTTAATAATTGCATTAAATCCCTTGTATCAATTTTATAATGCAAAGGTCGATGTGAGCTCACATTGCCACACACCAGCTTTACTTGTGGTTTAGGACCTCATGCAGGTGTCCCTACATACATTATTCTAAACACGAACGGGCACCTGAGCAGAACTAGAGACGTTTCTTAAGGTAGCTGGATATCTTTATCATATGAAAGAATCCAAACTCCTTTGCGGGATTTGAACTCACAGCGGTGAGTGGCAAGTAGTTTGAACCACTCGGCTACGGATGCCCCGTGATTGGCATCATCTTTATCACATATGCAAGATTTAAGTCATCAGTAGATATAATTAAATACATGTTTCTGCAAATTCATTCGTTTACAGACGAGTGAAAGTAAACTTCATTCAAGCTTCAAGTTTATTAGCAACACCAGCACAAGCGCCTTTGACCATTTGCATAGTAAAACACGAAGTATGACAAAACATACAGCACATATAAGTACATAAAACACATATCAATACACACAATACATATAAAATACATAAATAATCGACATTTATTAAACAGTGCTTAGGGTATCTTTTTTCGAATTTCAAAAGCTTATTTAATGAATTTTTGTAATTAAATCAATTTTTGTTCTCTAGACATGTCACGGTTCAGACCTGTTTATTATTTGAGGGACACGATATTTAAGCGGACGGATAGCTCAGTCGGTATTCAGAGGGTCCCGGGTTCGAGTATTTACAACTGTTTCATTGAATCGTTGAAATCATGTGCATTCGCAGTGATGAAATTAACTGTTGACCGGTCAATTTGTTTTACTGTTTTACCCCTGTCATCGGGTATTTCAGTGAACGCCGTGTGTTACTTTTCGCTAAACGAGCGTCGCTCAGCTCAGTGTACGGTAGTGTATGATTTTGCAACATATATATTACAGTTTGATTGCAAAGAATTAGTTAATAAAACAATCATTTCATGGAACATCGAAAACTGTTGTCCCGGGGTATGACATTTGGAACTGTTGTCAGAAATAGTTTATCGTATTAAAAGAAATTATGGACAAATGTGACTTATTTTTACTTTCACCTGTTCACTATCAATACACTTGGATGCCTTGGATGGGCATAATGTCACTTTAACATGACGCCCGCGAAAGTCCTTGTCACACAATAAGTAATCGTGATTGGAATACAGGACCCTGATATAAGTTTCGAACCCTGAAAATAATAACGAGGCTCACCGACGTAAAATGATGATCAGAAATGCATTTTAGACATACGGAATGATTTGTATGACTTTGAAATAAAAACAAGGCTATTGGAGTACAATAGTGATTTGATATAGATTTTGGGTCTCAAAAATGATAACCAGGCTTAATTGGTAAGAATGTATTCAATAATGAATTATATTTGGAGATCACATAGTGCAAATGCTGGAAGTTCATTGGTTACATTTTAAATGTAGTAATAATTCATGTATTGTTCATTGAAATAGTTCACACCTTAAAACAAATTCATTTTAAAAGAAGCGCACATCATGATAAATGAAGTTTTTTTCTATTTAATTCCTTGTATTAGTGTTATTTTGCTGTTTTACTTTCTTAAGTGCTTGTTATCAGATGTGATCTGGTTGTCCAGATTGGAATTCTGATTGTGCTCTTCTTTGAGACTTCTAATTGTAAAGTCTGTTACTAAAGTCCAAATGAGGGTAATCAGGACACTTTGGACGTTCTTTACGTACTGTAAACTTAGCCCTGAAATATTGAATTAAATTTTGAAAGTTTCAGACTACTTTTTTGCTGACAATGTTGTATTGACGACTTGTCTTGTCAGTCAAAACTACAAATATCACAATTTTTGTATGCCGCATGCAGTTTTGAATAAGTCTCGGTTAATACCTCAAACATCATAGACGACTTTACAAAAATATTGACTGAGTTCTGTTTTGTTTGTTTGATTAATAAAACAGAAACTGTAAGTGATTAAAGAGACAATCTCTGCCACCTTAACATTCATATTTGTATGGTATTTGAATGAATGATTCCCACAATTATTTATTCTAGATCACGTCTTAAAAGATCTGACTTCAGTTAACAAACACATGCAATATGAGTAAATCTCGCAGTGTTTCCTCATTTCAATTAATATCTCCGTTATCTTCAAAATATGTTACATATTTTTTTAATCAAAATGCATATTGCCGTTAGATTTAAGACAATGATAACAAAACAATGTATGTTATGATTCTAAATAATGAGAGAAAAATATTAGTATATATCACCGGAATACTTAGAACTTTTGTTCAATGTATGTAAACATATCAATTGTCGAAAAAGTAACTTGGTGGAAACATAAATACAATTTTAGTTTACATTTAACATGCCAATCGTCACAGGAATTGTTAAAATGGATGACTCTCTGAAACCTTCATAATATTTTTTATTTTAATTTTATCTTTCAGTAAATAGAATTACTCGTCAGGATTTCCGTAATATGCAGTGTATTTGACAAATACATGTATCTGGAAAAAAGGGATCCCTCGCAAGGATTTAAACAAAAAAATAATATGAAAAATGCATACTCGGTTTGATTGAGTCTGTTCATGAGGGATAATAAATATATTCATCATTCCTATTTAATTTTCAACACTTAAAACTGCTTGAATCAGCATAACTCACTACTTAAAATGAACACAAAAACTATAATTATTCACATCTTTTAAACACTATGTAACGACTACATATAAGAAATATGTATTAAACTCTTCAAATAAACAATGCCGGTATGTTATATCGAATAAATTAAATTGTAACAACATTTGTATAGAATGGTAAATTAAACAAACTAACCTCTTTCTATTTTTGTTGGTCCAAATGGCAAACACAACAATACAGGCAACTATCAATATTCCTGTCACTGATACAGATACTGTAACAACATCAACCTTGCTGCTCTCCTTGCCATTTTCAGGATTATATTCTATAATATTACAATCTCATATCGAACGAAAATACGTAATGATACAGATTTTATAAAAGTTTTAAAAAGACCCGTAAACAAATATCAATGGTTCCTTGATGTTATCATTATAGTTTGTACTGAAAATTATGTGACTAGTGATATAGTAAATATCTGATGTTGAATGAGATATAATTTAACATTGTTATATTACTAGAATTTGTTTATTTGTCTTTATAATAAAAATCAAACAGAGTTTATCAATACTTGTTTCGATGTATACTTAATTATAGTCAGAGATGTTTTCTCAATTATAATATCTATAATTTTATTATATATACTAATATTTATATTATTTCAGATATTTGTTTTACTTTTATATATGTAATAATTTTTTTTGTTTTGTTTTGGGTTTTACGTCACATCGACACAGTATAGGTCATATCGCGACGTTCCAGCTTTACTGGTGGAGGAAGACCTCAGGTGCCCTTCCTTGCATTATTTCAGGCACGAACGGGCACCTGAGTAAAACCACCGACGTTCCGTAAGCTAGCTGGATAGCTTCCTCACATGAAAGAATCCAAAGTCCCTGTCGGGATTATATGTAATAAACATAATTATAAACTTCACATAAGTTACTGTTATTTTCACACTTTTTGAATTTGTTTTTTTCCTGATTTTCACACCGTGTCAGTAAATGTTTTGGTCTCGGCAGTCAATCTTACAAACCGGTTTTTCTAGAGAACCTTCAAGTAAATACCAACATTTCTAGCAAGTTATCGACAACTAATCACACTTGCAAACTTAAGACAAATGGCGACTCAATGTCCAAAATGTCCAAAATCAATTGTCAAAAAGAAATAACACCTCGACCGAAAATCGATTACTAATAGATGTTTCAGAATGCTTAAATGACACTTATTGTTTGGTCACAGTGACGATATTTTTGACTAGTTTTTCGGTTCTCTTGGATCGTATTTTATTTAGTTCAGATTCTTGTTGACTTAAGGGATATCAATGCAAGTTAAAATTGATATACTAATGATCTACCTTGCTGTGTCGTCCACTGAAAACGAGCAAATGATGGGCAGCAAATGAGGTTTGAACTTATAGGACTTCGGTCACCATCCCTGTAGCACTGGTTACCAATATAGCATGTGTCTGCCTGCAAAAAATAGGCTATATGTTAACCGGTTTTGCAGATATTCATACATATTTCAACAGAAAACCATCTATGATACTTTAAAGGTATTCAGGAACTTGATATTTTTTCTCCTACAATACCGAAGGACTATAATCAAGGAAACACTGCTTAAAAGCTTAAATTTCTATATAATATTTATGTACAGTTTTTCTTTATTGCTTTTCATTCATGTATTCATTCATTGATTCATTCATTTATTCATTTCATTCATTCATTCATTTGATTATTAATTTATTTACACATTTATTTATTTATTTATATTTATGCATTTATGCAGTTATGTATTTCCTTTGTTTTATTCAGACAAAAACTTTAAAGAATTATCTTTTTAAACAATATGATGATTCTCACCTTCAAACTGAAAAGAAGATCGCCCGTTTGCATCATGACGAATGACTGACACGTCGAATCAAAGACGTGGACATTTCTACTCCGACCGAAGTGTATTCCATCGTTGCTTATAGAAACAGAGTATCTAACAGTGAACCAATCAGATGTTACATCCCTTTTCTTTCGTCTTTTCTCTGCAGCTGAGGGACAGCAATATCCGTCGAATACACTCTCATATTCTCCGTTACGCTCGAGCTTATCAGAATGGACCACTGTTCCGTTTACATCAAGCTATATAGATTCAGCACGATTGCAAATCAATATTTTTTAATCTAAGACTGTTTACATTTACAATTTATATTAAATTCGACAAAAGGTATTTGATTATCTTTTGCTTGAATGTTCTCGATATTAGTAAATCAATAAAACATTACCTTTGGGTTGTATAATGGTCAAGAAAAAAAAAGCAATTTGTATCAAGTAATTATCTTAGATTATCAGTTAACCAAGTTAAAGGTTTATAATTTAAGAAATGAAAGTTAGAAGACAAAACTGATATTTAAGGCCTGTAAAAGGCCATGCTTTCCGACAGAGGTCATGAACCTACTTCGTCGATGTCAATCTTGCATTTGAATCCTTTCAGGAGGTTCTGTGTGTGAAATTGGAGGCATTCATGACAATCATCTCCGTCTGCAAGATCGCATTCACCCCCACCTTCTATATCAGTAAATTCTAAAGGTGTTGATTTCTTTACAAAACAAGAAGCCCCAACGTAATCGCCTTTGCATACACACGTTCCTGACACAAGAATATAACCTCTTGCATATTCAAAATGTTACGACTAAATGTTGTTGAATGAATCACATTTCTACATAACAACAAGTGCCGTTGTTTTATGTCTCTTAATATGCGTGACTCAGGACGCCATGTAAAATAAATCAATGCAAAGACTGCCCCGGTTATTTTATTATTAAAGCATAACTGTCACACGCACGTGAAAAGCATCTATTTACAAACAAAGAGCAAATAACGAAACGAAAAACTACCGAATAAAACGCAATCTTTTAAGCAAGAATTATAGTGCTTATTCACATCTTCACATCGTAAATAATATCTGTAGGTGTAATCGGTCTTATTTAACTACTTAAATACGTCGTCTTCGTACTTTTCCAAATGTTACAGTTAAATTTACAATCTGTTACAAGGTTGTTATCATTGCCTTATTCAAACTAAGCAATTCTTGACATAATTAATAAAAGAATTATAAAGAACCTTTTAGATAAATTACACATTGTTAAGTTAATGGATGTTTTACTATCATTATTATTACTACTATAGAATGATCATTCACAACATACCATTGGTACAGTTGCCATTACCGTTACATTGTGACGGACATGTGACATTATTAAATGCACGAACGACATCTGATTTTTCTTCTCTGAACGTTCCGTTCCGAGCGATCTCTTGAGCAACAACACTCACCCAACTGTTATAACTTTTCTCTTTCCAGAAATCTCGACCGTCGACCTAAATATTAAATAAAGAAATGTGTATCACTTTACTTTGATTCATATGCATGCTAGTTATGTAAGAAACCAATTGTACTTGTATGCTATATTAAAGCAAACATATCGTTGGTCCCCATATAAAATGCCGAAGCTACAGTTTTGGCAAAATCGGTATTTTTGTATCATTTTTCGCGGGAAACCATTATACTTATGTTGTAAAATAGCGAACAACCAATCCAATGAGATGAGCGTTGTCGGACCATGTGATGAAATGTCGAAGACTCATTGGTTGAAAATAGAAAATGTAAAATTACGAACCTGTCTAGAATTGCAACTTCGGCATCCTGCACCGAACAAATGTAAACACTTTATTGTTTGACGAAAAGACGAATGAGTAATTATTGAGAAATGTACAATGAAAAAGTAAGATTTTTATTATGTAACTCAGTAATTGTATAAATTAAACTGTTCTCAGATTAAAGCTGTAAATTTTGATGTAAAATTATCGTTTAAACGAGCTATTTAATATGTTCTAGAATGATGTATCCAAATGACTCCTCAATATTGTTGAAATAACATAAACAATTTGCCAAAAAATCTGTCTTTCGCAAGTGATACATGTGTATGTAGTTTGTAATAAGTAAATACTGTTAAAAATGAACTTAAAACAGTTTTTTTTGTGTGTACATGTCATCTGTTTTGGGAGAAATGTAGGTTCGTCATTTTATGTATATCAAATTTAACTAAAAACAAGTAGTTTCGTCATTTTGCTATCATATATATAGACATGACATGTATTATTCCCGTAAAATAACTTCTAATCTTTACCCGTCTCCCCCCCTTCTCTCTCTCTCTCTCTCTCCCTTTTCTCTCTCTCTCTCTCTCTCTCTCTCTCTCTCCCCCTCTCTCTCTCTCTTTCTCTCTCATTGCTTGCAAGTATGACAATCATGCAGTGTATATGCAATTGAAATATTTCATTTCATTCTTAATGATAAGGATTGTTTTATAACATTAGTTTCATTATTACTGTGAGTAATTTCTCAATAGTTAAAGGGGCTATATCATAAAAAATGTAAAGATGCATTTTTTTCTTTTGCAGGTTATCAAGCATCCTTTGCCTTCCAGATGAACTTTTGTTACACATACTGATGTTCCTGGATCTTCAGTATTTACTACAAGTTGTAAATAGAAGTTGTAAAAGATTAAAAAATATCATTGACAATAACTCTGTATTGTGGAAACATATTTCATTTGACATACCTTTGGAATTTACTAAAGAACAATTTGATAATATACTAGAACATTCAAGGGGATTTTGGGAATTCCACATCCCAGGTGCTGAGGTGAATTGTTTGACACCGGCTTTGGACTTCAGTCTAGTTACATGTTTACCGAAAGCTAAATGGCTGTATTGGTTAGATTTGACCGATTGCAAGTTATCCACACTGTGCTTTTTAGAATACCTACCAGATCTAGAAATTCTTAATCTTTCTGGTTGCTTCAACTTATTGGATGATGATTTTTACGTTTTAAGTTCTTGCGTTAAACTTGATCAGCTGTATGTTTCATTCACAAGCATTAAACCATCAACTCTTGTTAAAGTATGTAAAGATATCTGTCTTAGTGTTCTGGATACAACAGGAGTTTCTTTGTCAAACACAAACCGTGAACGTATTCTTGGAAACACTTGGCAAACATTATCGTTCTGGTACATGTCACTGGATCCAAACGAAAATGAACATGATTTGAAAGAAATTAGAAATAGATATATTGATTGTTCAATACATATTACAAGAAGATATCGCTAGATTATAAACATGTTTTCACGAGGGAAATTTTTAGTGCAATTAGCTCAAAAACAGTTTAAAGCATCTACTGAACATGACAATTTTATCATTCAGGGTAACACAATAACCGCTGACAATAATAAAAAAGATGATGGTCGCTCCGATACAAATAATATTAACCCTGACACAAGTAAGGCCGATATAAACAATAATTCTAATGGTCTCACTAAGATCGCAGAAGCAATTATAGAAGCCGATAATGTTCTAGAGGAAACATATCAAACTCTTCCCGAAAACATACAGTATAATACAGGTATATGTAGCATATTAAGTGATGATAGTTCGAAGTTAAGCAATAGTACAGAAAAGGAAGATAGTTTGTTTCCTAATTCTGACATTGACAGTTATGATGCACATGGGATCTTTGACTCATACAACTTTGAGAATATGACAACAGATAATGGCCCCGAAAATACATATTCAGAGGTAAGATTTGAATTAGAACACGACACAGAGAACCAAATAGACAAAGAGTGCACAGCAACCTTTAACGACAAGGTTAGTGAAAAAATGTCTGACGGAGAACCTTATGATGACGATTGTGCTGATCATGACAGCAACCAAGATCCAAATTATGAGCCTGAAGATGATGATCAAGCGATAGAGACAGATTCTGATAGCAACTGTTCGTTAAACAATGGAAATGCGAATGTACATAGTGTTGATCATGAAGAAGTAGTAGGAAGCTCGAGTAATGGTAAAAGGAGAAGATTAAACAAAAGGTCAGAACATAAAAAGCTCAGAATGCAAGGTAAGGCCTACCTAGGTATTAGGAGGAATGAGAATGGAAAAACTACACTTTGTGCTGAAAGAGCAGAACGTATTCTAGCACCAAGAACATGTACTGGAAGGTGTCAAAAGGGATGGGGAGGGAGAAGATGCAAAGATATTGACGAAGATATTAGAGCTGAAATTTTTCGGATGTTCTGGGAGACAATGACATGGGGTGAGAAGAAAATTTACGTTATAAGTCTTGTTGAAAAGAAAGAGATACAACGAAAAACAGTTGAGTCTCAGAGCAGACGAAAATATAGTTATGAATTTTATCTTAAGAAAAATAACACAAAGGTCAAGGTTTGTCAATCGTTATTTTTGTCGACATTTGGATTGAGAAATGAAACAATATACCGATGGATAGGTGAAGAAAGTGAATCACATGGTATACCAAAATGTCAGACTTCAAAGCAAACAAGAGTGGGTCATAACTCGAAAAGTGCAGCAAAGGAAGCTGCTGAACAGTTCTTCCATGATATTCCAAAACTCCCGTCTCACTATTGTAGAGCTCAGTCATCGAAAATGTACCTAGAATCATCACACACAAATCTCAGTGAATTATATGCAGAATACAAATATTTAATGGAACAAAGTAATAAGCCTAGTTATGGTATCTCACAGTTTACTCGAATGTTTAATGAAAAAAAAATAGCGTTTTTCAAACCAAAGAAAGACCAATGCGATACATGTTGTTCCTTTAAAGCAGGTACGTTAGGTAAACAAGAATACGAACAACATATCAGACGAAAGGAAGAAGCAACAAAATCTAAATCCCTCGACAAAGAAAATGCTATATTGCATGGTAAACAGAAAGTTATCACTATGGACCTTCAAAGCCTGCTTCTGTGCCCAAAGCTTGAAGCAAGTTGCCTTTACTATAAGACAAAGTTATGCTGCCATAATTTTACTCTATATGACTTGGCGACAAGGGAGGCTATGTGCTATTTCTGGAACGAAACGGCAGCGGACCTAAGTGCTAGCACATTTGCTTCATGCATTGTCGACTATTTACAAAACATTAACTTAAGTGGGTTAGAGAAAATTATTTTGTACAGCGATGGCTGCACGTACCAGAATCGGAATGCTACCCTTGCTAACGCATTACTTAAATTTTCCGTAACGCATAATATAGAGATTGTGCAAAAATATTTAGAAAAGGGCCACACCTACATGGAGTGCGACAGCATACATGCTAGCATTCAAAGAAAAGTGAAGAACCGTGATATTTTTATACCGCAGCAGTATGTTGAGGCAATTCAAGGAGCCAGAAAAAAACCATATGACATTAAGTATGTCGACCACACATTCTTTAAAGATTATACTAAGATACTCTTTTATAATAGCATCAGACCTGGTGTTGGAGTTGGTTCTGCAGTAGTTACAGACATTCGGGTGTTAAAATATACTTCAGACGGGAATATTTGTTACATGATAAATCACTCAGATCAAGAGTATACTGAACTGCGAAAACCTCGAACAGTGACCAGCACCTTTTTCGACGATGTTCCATTTGCCTATAACAGACAAATAAAATTAAAAAAGAATAAATATCAGCACCTGCAGCAAATGAAAGCTGTCATCCCAAGCGACTATCATGCTTATTACGACACTTTGCCTCATGAGTAATAAAATTGTTGTACCAAACTACATCAAAATGTCTTAAGCATAAAGGTTGGACAGGTACAACATTTGAATAGTTTTATTTTACTGATACATGTAGACACAGATGTTATTACATTTTTATGCTGTATTAGTAATGTCATCATTATTGATCATAACATATCGGGAGAGACTTTTACGTGACAACGTTAATTCAACTTAATTAGTTTTAAACGTCAATGTTGATTTCTTTATTCATGGATGTTTGTGATTTGAGAGTTACAATATTTGAACATTTTATTTCAGTTATGAAAATAAACGCAGGTAGCAGTACATTTTTATTATGTATCAGTTAGCATTATTGTACAGTAACCTTTGAGATCACAACATAGCAAAAGATACGTTTTTGTTACAGAATTTGACTTTCTTAGCTTAGTTTAGAGTAAGATATGAATGTTAAGTGTTTCGATAACGGTTCATAGGGTGTCATACAAAATGTATATAAAATGGGACTTTTCGTAATAAGAAATGTTGTTAAACTTTTGATCGTTCAATTTACTACTTATTTTACATTTTATTCCATTGAGAAATGTATTTTATTCAAATCTATTTTCTATAGTTGTGTTTCTTGAATAATGAAAGGTAATCGTTATTCAATATTTCCAGAGTGTTAATGATTTGTTTTATTTTTTCTAGATAAAAGCTTTGGGTGGATTATTAAAAACATTCAATAAAAATTAGAAATTTCGACACTGTGTCTTTTGTTTTATTAATACAATACCTTAACATTTCCGTCTGCCTATATATCTACCTATCAACTTCAAATCCTTTGTATATAGACGGTATGCAAAGTGCACATTTAAGCATGTTTTATCGGTGGATGTCACTTTTATCACTTAAACTTTTGTTCACAGCTTATAACTTGTTTACTATGTACAGATTCAGTGATTTGTAAAAGGATATTTTGTCATCATTGTATCTGTTCCGTCACAGCTTAGTGTTTTTATAAAGTCATTTGCCGAAGAAGAGCAATTTTTCGAATGCCATAATGCCGAAGTTACTTTTTCTCTAATATCTTTTATTTTGTAATTCATAAAACACACAAAACATATTTCAAAACATGTAAAAATGTCATATGTATTTTTAACAATCCTGATGTGCGATATATTTCAAGGCAATGATATTTTTGCCTCTCCTGAAAAAGTGAATTTCAGTAACTTCGGCATTTTGAATGGAAGTCAACGATATATAAATTCACGTGTTCAAACATTCTTTTGATGAATACATCAAATATTTGCATTCTATTATTTATCAATTTTGGAAATGTTTTCACTTCTTTGTTACAACATAAATATGTCTTTGAAGTGCAAAATCAACATACCATCATATCATTGACGCATGCAGATAAAGATTGATTCAAAGCTATGTCAGGTAAATCATTTATCATGTTGTATGTAGGCTTTGATCTGAATACATCGAGGCACTCTTTGTAAGCTTGCTCCTCAGACATGTGAGTATTGACAGTTCTCTGTAAAGATTTAAACTATTAACAACATGAAGTACATACAGTTTATAGTTTTTTGGGTTTTTTTGTTGGTTTTTTTTGGGGGGGGTGAGGGGGGGGGGAGTTGCTCGTGTTTTGAAGCATTGACATTATTCACAAACGCACAATACTATTTCACTTTATGTAGATTAAATATTCTAGTTTGTTATTCTCACATCCAGTAGATATGTTGCCTTTTTTGTTTCAATCTATTTCCAGACAACTGTCTATGATAAGATGTCTTAACTTCTCATATCATCTGAATACATGAGTTCATTCTTTTATCTTTTATGACACGTTTTATATCGAGTGCAGAATGCAGTGATAGGTAAGATTCAATGGTCACCACCGAATAATGTATGCTGATATTCCAAAATATGTAAATGTTCAAAAACTTTAAATCTAATTATTGGTAAGAATTGTATTTATTTAATCCGGTGATAGCAAATATCAACATATATTTTGTATTCACCATTTGATACGTATGTTACTCTCTCTAACTCTTACCAAGCAATGATTGTAATTTCACTTTGCGCTGATATCTTATATTTGGAAGACTATGCATAATGTAAAGTTCTTATACTATACATAATGTAAAGTTCTTACACATGACCGCATCCAAATTGAAAAAAATATTGCCATATTCACCTTACGAATTCGGCTATGCAATTTATCATTTGATAATGAAAGAGCAAGCAACCTTTCATTATTTCTTCTATGCCTCACTACAGATCTTTTGTTTCTTATCGTGCAAGTTTTCTGTTCTCCTTGAAGTTCAATATGCTCTGTACACGTCGCATACTGCTGGGAGAAACATGTTGCCCTTGAATCTTTATTACCTTGGATTAATTGATCTAAATGTTCAACAACCCTAGGACATATGCAAACGTTATGATCGTACGTCCAAGATGGTGGAAGATAGTAAAGTAATGTGTTAAACAAACTTTGTTGTAACCTGCAAATATATACATGTATTTACATATTTTTTCCGCAAATTTTGTGTTACTTGACTGTTTATTTTTGAATACTCTGGTGGTATTTTTCTGCAAAAGGTGTAAAAATATGCCACTAGTCATGCTGATAAAATTATCCGAGAAAACAAACATGTCCAAATGAGGCCCTAAAAAGGTACAACATTTTTTAGGGAAGTTCAAAATATGAATATTACTCCTGTTAAAATTATAGAATAAAGCACATCTATATTTATGAACATGTGAATAATAATAAATTTACATATCTAAACTGATGTTTGCTCTAAAATATGAATAAATGATGTACAGTCATAGTGTTTTAACGAAAACGGATCAACCATTATTATCGATGAATAATAGGTTTGCAATTAAGTTAAAATGAAGAAATACGAATTGCATTACAAATGTGTGTGAAAAATACAAGCTAACACTTGACTTGATGTATGCATTTCAGTGATTTTTTGAACTATCATATAACTTAAATATCACTACCTGTATATAAACAAAACTGGTCCAAACATTGATTGACTAACAAATTATTCTGTCTTACCTCTGCTTTCATAATTCTATGTTCATAATAATGGATATCCAAAGAAATGCCTACAGACAATTTCCGCTCGTTGTATCGATTTTTCAAAGATACATAAATATCGATACTTCGAGAAGCAAATACAAATACTGATATAAAGATATGTCAACACAGTAAATATTTTATTTCAAATTGTTTCCCCTAACATAGCATCATGATGAAAGTAACATGAATTGTTTCTTTAAAGCAAGCACACCATTAATGTTAAACAATTCAAACATTTATATATTTATTGTGTACATTTTTGAACATTCATATGAACAAATATTTTGATTTTCAGAACAATGCTTTTTTAGGCCCCAATGACACTTACACAAATCTAATTGACATCTACCTTTTTTATTCACACAACTGATTGGAAGCTTTTTTAGTTTTTTTCTTGAGGGAAAGTATCAATAAAGATTGATAAATGATAAAATTATCTATTTTTATTCTTTTGAATATGCCCCTTTGAAACTGTAAAAAACATGTTATTGCTTTTCCATCACCTACTTGAAAATCTCTAGGTATTTGTTTTACTTAGTTTTTTAGGACATGACTTATAATTTGTACATGTTACTCAAAATACCCTGTAGAAATTGACCTTTTTATCAGTAATGATATTTCTCTTTAACTATCTCATGCATGCCAATTCTGACACTTGAACATGTTCTCTTAAATAAGAAGCCTCAAACAGCATACAAATAAATTGTTTATATCAAACAACATAATGTTGACAATATATGACTTCACTTTCGGAAACAAATCATAATCAGGAGAAAAGTATTCACAAATCAGTATTTTCAATGCCCTTTCGTGGCATCAAATACATATTAATCGTCTATTTTACATTAAATTCATTATCAAAATTGGTTTATTTCATATTATTACATAGTCACGTGAAATAAAGTTTAATTTGATAATTGTTTTTAAGCGAATTTCCTGAGAGTTTGGTTCTTCTTATACCTTAAGCATAAAATGGACATTATTTAGGGTAGAAATTATTTATGTTAAAGCTTCGTAGCGGATGAATACAGTGTCAATTTTGAAATGAATTGAAGAAAACATTTCTTGAATTTTTAAAATGAAAAACAGAATTCCCGCGTCACTATGTTAGAATAATTTATGGCAGTTCTTAAAACAAGACAAAATGTTTTGTTTTGCAGCATGTAACACAAGTTGGATGAAGAGTAATCCTGTTTTCTCAATATCTTGATCAATACTTACTCCCATTTATTAAGATATTCCGTGTTTATATTTTCGTCACAAATTCCGTTTAGGTTTCCACACAACCCTTCCACGTTATTGACATCAGAGGGAGATGGGTTGACCTCGACGTTAAGATAAGCTGATGTACGCCAATGCTCCCTAGAAATTTTTATATGTGTCCCAGTTGGGAGGTAAATCTAAAAGTCACAAAGGCAATAAGTGTTCAATTTATTCATTTCTGACGTAAAATAGACATGAAGGTAAAACATAATTCGCAGATAGTTATAAATAATAATGTAAGGAAACGCATTAAAAGCTAATAAAACATATTTCATAGTTATAACCTTTTATTGTTTTATTTCTGATCATATTTAAGCAATGGAATCAATGAGATCTAATGTTCGAAGCAAGGAAAATGTAACAATGTAACTGATTTAATGATAATCGTTAACTCAAACGTTTGGCATCAATCATCCTAAGGACTAGATATCTTATAGTAACACTACCATAGAGTCGATGTAACAAAGTAAAATGACCCCCCCCCCCCCCCACCTAGAGTAATACGACCCGGTCAATATTCTACGGACAAAATGAACTGTACCTAATAAATAATGACTCATTCTGAAGAAATATTCGATCTCAAAAAGAACTGGAACTGGAAGCTGTTGTTGTTGTCGCAACATAAGTCTTCATTCTGTGACTTTTATTTGACCTTGACATTACCATTTACCCACGTCCTTAACTTAACAGTTAGATTTTACTTACATAGACTGACTTACTTTAACGTCCTGTTCTTGTTGTTTTTATTGTTTGGTCGTGACAGTTCATGAGACATAATGAAAAGGTAACACATCGTTCACGCATCCTAGAAGTGGTATTCAGTCCTCAACAAGCAAAAGTAATGGAATCAATAATCCAGATGTAAAATATTAAGACAATTTGATGAAGTACGGGACAATATATTACAGTCGTCAGATTTTAAAACTGTCATTTTATTCACACTGTCATTTTGTCTAAATGGTATTCACTACTCAGGTGTTCATGATAAGTACTCCTAATTAATTTCAAATCAAATGGAGAAATATTTACTCTTTATATTCGTAATTACTAAATACAATTGTTGTTTATTAGAAATACACTGAATTGTATCTTTGCCATGTTTAAAATTTCAGGAATGACAACTACAACAGTTACAATGCTATAGACCCTTTCATTTAAGCGATAACAGTAAGTGAAGAGTTACTTCCCTTACCGGATGTGACGTAAATACTATGCAGACCGCATAGAATTTTAGCTTATTGAAAAGTTAAATGCGTAAATACTGATCATTAAATTATTATTATAACATGTAACAATTTACGTATGCATATATAAATTCAATATCAAGACAATAGAAAAAATACAAAAACATAGATTGAGATTAATTCTCGCTACGGATTGAAACAGCGGAATTTCAAAGTGAATATATTTATTACATCTATATTTTCTTTAATGTCAGGATAAAAAGTTAGTAACTAAATCAAATTTTAATATTCTATAAACACTAATACACACTGAAATTGCCTATTATAAATTTAAATGGACATTTTCTATTTTTCTGTGTTTTTTCTGTCATTTATAGAAAATTCCGGCGTATTTGTGACAAACATGAAAATAAGATTGCCAATGTCTTTCAATGAGTGTTTTTCAAGCTTTGATAGAGCAATAGCAGAATGCATTCGGTCAATACTTACTGATTATTTTAAAAATTACTTCAAAGAACCAGTGAAGGATATAATTTTATAAATATTACGGAAAGAACGAAAACCATATGGCATTGACATTTATAATTTTAGATTCTCAACTGACGATAATAAGATAATTTTGATATTAAAAATCTATTCTTATGGTTATAAAAATAAAGACCTTTATTGTTTGGTTTTATTAACCTGTCAATTACATACTGATTACACGGTCGATGCACACAGTATATTAATCTTCGGTAGATTTTCGGTAAGTTCCGTGAGATGTACGCTGTACGATGGAATTTAATTTAATTTGTATCTCTCAACAAAGTGTACTCAGCGTTATAGCGCAATAGGGTAAAGCACGAGTTTATACTCTAAGTGCCACACGTGTTTTAAGTTCGAGACCGCGTAGGTCTATGTTTTTATTTTCTTATTAATACTTTCAACAATATTGGAGCTATATATGATTATTTTATGTTGTTCGTTTTGTTTTATTATGTTTTACTTAATTTTGTTATATCTATATTCTTTTTAAATAACATGTTTTAAGAATTCATGTTTAAAATTAAAACGGATTTAAATCAATAAATGTCTTTTCAATGCTGTAAAACACACTACAAACTTTTCCATTAAAATATACGGCAAAAATAAAGAAAGAGTACTAAAACAATGGCAACAGCAAGGATCGAACCACAGACCTCTGAATTATCAGGCATTCTCTTAACCGACTGTACTATTGTGAATTAACGAAAACCTTTACATTAAGCTGGCGTGACTTTCAATACATGACTAATATACTCCACATTAATTCTCGTAAACTACACGGACGAAACCGAAGTGGGATCGGATATTTAAATGAGTTCTATAATGTATGCATAATTGACAGGTCAATAAAATCAGACTATACCCAGTAACTCATTTCATAGATAAATAGATGTGTATATATAAGCGCCACTGGGCCGTAACATATTAATTAACAGGGTGCATATGTTGTTTATACAAGTGTTTAGTATTTCACGTTTGAATGAGATGCTGCGTGCTATATATTCAGTGTTATTTTCTGACCACTTTACTTCGTGCATAATATTATGCCTGGGGGAGCCAATATTCTTTAATAAAAATAATGACCGGCGGTCATTAAACTTACTTTAGAGGTTATAACTCTATAGTAAATGAGACCTATTTTCTGTAAGGTACTGTAAGTGTAACATACGATTTCTGCACAAAAGTTTTACTAAAACACTATTTAACTATTGCAAAAGTTGTTCATTACTCACCGAAGGTGTTCATAACTTTATAGACTTGTCCATCCAACAGGAAATGGGTGTTTTTGTTTTGTTTTGATCGGGTTTTACGTCACACCGACACAGTATAGGTCATACCGCGACGTTCCGGCTTTACTGATGGAGGAAGACCTCAGGTGCCCTTCCGTGCATTATTTCAGGCACAAACGGGCACCTGAGTAGAACCACCGACGTTCCGTAAGCTAGCTGAATGTAACGGATTGGAATATTGACACTCCTGTCATTTTTCTATATAGAAACTGACCCCATGTAGCTCACCTGAGCACAAAGTGCTCCAAGGTGAGCTTTTGTGGCCACTCTGCGTCTGTCATGCGTCGGGCGTCGAGAGTCAAAAAAATTGCGTCAAAATCTTAAAAAACAACTACTGTAAAAACTAAGCAAGAATGTTCCTTGCATGAAGCCCTTTAAAAATTGTTCAAAGAATTTTATTCCATGCTAATTCTGGTCATAAAAAAAAAACTAAAAAAACAATCTTGTAAAAAAAACGAAAGTGCTAGAGCTTAGATATTTAGCACGAAACATATTCTATTGGATGTCTACCAAGTTTGTTTAAATAAAATCCCTAGGGTTGGCCCCGCCCCATTGGGTCATAGATTTTCCTTATATGTATATAGTAAAAACTAAAATAAAACTTTTTGTGCAAATCAGAAAGCTCAGAGCTTAGACATTTGGCATAAAACAAATTTGTTCAAACAAAATCCATAGTGTCAAAATTGCCCCCCCCCCACCCCCCGGGTGATTGATTTTCCTTGTATGTACATGTATATAGTAAAAAAGAATTACGACTGTAATGTCTTGATGTGTAATTTGTATACATACTAACTCCAGCTGGAAAATAATAATCCAGCCTTGAACAGGCTCAATCATATGGATGGGATTATCCGCCAGTTCACCCAATCGCAACTACTCGGCCCTTTCCGTCAGTCTTCGGATAAGGACCTCGAATACAATAGTATGAATACACAGAACGGATGCGGTATTTCGGTCTAACCTATGCTAAGAAACTAAACATGTAAACAAATATCAATTTAATGTTGGGAGTTGTTAACAAGTTTATTTCCAATATATGTAGTAAAAGTCCACCTAAAATAAGTGAATTCATAGGTACAAAAGCAAACAATACATTATTTAGGAAATAGATATCAATTCTGAGTGCATTGTTGTAGAATAATGCACGGTTTGAGTTCAAATGCGTAGTAATATAATCACGAAGGCCGATAGGCCTGAGTGATTAATTACAAAGCATTTGAACGAAAAACGTGCATTATTATACAATAATGCACGAAGAATTGATATCTATTTCCATTCTAATACGTCAAGAAAAAATATAATTTTTATTATAACGTTGGACTTTATGTTTGGTGGTTGAATTTGTTTTCGCCTCAGAGTTTCCAATAGAAACGTTCTTTAGAGGCCGTTCCAGTGGGTTGAAAAAAAACTGTTAAATCTACCGTTTTGTAGAAACATTTTGAAAAATAACGAATTTTGAAAACGTTGATACAACTTTGTTTGTTTATTTATTTCAGTTTATAATTTTCCAAGCGAAATACAAATTATTAAAAGTGAAATAAATGTAAAACTAAACTCGTTTGCGACATTAAATAGCGACTTGATTTGATTGTTTTGCACGTGCTGTTTGGCGCTACATTGTGACGTCACGTAAACAACACTTTAAACGTCTGTACAGCGTTAACGACTGAATTAAAGATATTGGTGTTCGGATTAATTTTCTTAGTTAGACCATTTTCTTTCATTCTAGATAGTTTTCACAACAAAATTCGAAAAAAATTGTTTTAATTTATCAGATTTTTTAAACAAAATGGCGCCTTCAATGTGAAAATACACAGGGAGATAATAAGAACGGCGAGTGCATTGTTGTAGAATAATGCACGCTTCCGGCCTTCTTTGTCTATATAGAAAAAAATCCGATAGTGTTAGAATTATATATTTATTATTATAGTTGTAGAAACCGAAAGTACAAAAAACCAACCTGTTGACATTTAGTCGGATTTGTTTAAAATTGAACATCAGTAGGCATATTGAAATTACAAATTGTTGTCAGACATATTTTCAAGCATAAGAGTACCGGAACAGACATTAGATGTCAAATATATACATTCGTTTTACATTATCTCTGTTTCTGTTTACAAATGAAACAACGTGGTAGAACTACTTTCAATCCGTATTGTTTCCGATGTTATTATAGATAATAGCCGAGGCAGTTCCGAATGCCAGTTCACCTATTATGCTTTACGACATTCCAATTTCCGTTTTTACTTTTGTGATAGTTTATGATGTTAGATTTTGGTTATTTTCAAGACTTAGTGTATTTAGTATCTTTATAATTATCAAAGTATGTTGAAATATATTTCTTTGTAATACGTTTATTTTATTTTTATACACGTTTTTCTTGTTTCATTCTAAAAATTGGTATGATTTCTCTTAAAATATATTTAATACATTTTAATTCAAAATCACACATTAAAATCAACATTTGGTATTCAGTGTATAGACGCTACCGAATATGTGTTACTTCATTTGTAATAGAATCAAAACAATCGAAACATCATTCACAGTATAAAATGCTGTTTAACATTGACTCATTAAAACAAAATCGTCTTCATAACAATGTTGACGTTATCAAAAAACGAAGCGGGGAACCAATTTTTGTAGTGCGTTTTCTTACGACAGAGGTCGCTGTTTAATACAAACTGATCCCTTTCGGTGCAGACGTAAAAATCACCTCATGGAAAAGATCCGATCAAACATCGTGATACCCTGCCTTGAAAAAAGCTGTTACTTGCCCTATATACAACAACAAACATGTTCTATCTTGCATAATGCGCAACATATCATTTTTATTCTTAAAATAGATCTTTCAGTAAAGGTATGCATGTGGCATACTTATGCGGCGGATTTTGAGATATTTGCCTCAAATATACGTTATATATGGGGGGAAATATTTGGTAGCCATTAACCTCCACATGATCGGATTAGTTTTCGTAGTATCAGATTTGTGAACACCGGTCAGCGAGCGGTTATTATTTTTTACATTTTTACCAGTTATTCCCCGTTGATTAAAAGGGGAAAAACGCAAAAACCTAATTAATTTTGAATTATACTTCGAAACTCTCAGTGTGCTATGCAAACTGCTGTTTCGAATACATAATACACAATGTCAGCATGGGGCTAAAATTACCATGATTTTTGTAAAATACTGAAACATTGTAAGAATAAAATGTGTGACAAATTAATTTTAGAAAGCAAATTCAAATAAAGGAAAAATATTTGAAAGCCAGCAAATTAAATATCTAATTGTAGTTTGCATGTTTACAGCCTTAGAACTGAAGTGTTAATTGAATGTTCGCATATTTCAATAAGAACTCGAGTTACGTCAGCAAGTACAACATCTTAATATTGCATAATGATTACAACGTATTAATAATAATGTCTTCATATTAATAACAATGTTTTCATAATAATTATAATGTCTCTCTATCAATAAGAATGCCTTCAAAATAATAAGAATTTCTTCATATTAATTACAATGTATTCATATTAATTAGAGTGGCGGATAATCCCTTCCATAAAATCAAACCAAGCCGGCAACATTTTCAATGTTGCCGTCTGGGGCTTTCTTTAGGGATTTTTATTTCTCTCTATTTTAGAAACTCTAGAAAGATTTCAGATTTTAAAAGAAAGCATTTCCCGTTCAACAAAAAAGTGAAACATTTTTAAATATGAAAGCCTAAAGCTTAATTCGTTCTTTCAAAAGACTTTTCTTGAAATAACCTGAACTGGTAAAATTTAAAGAATGATAGTCGTAACCCCATTAATGTTTAAACCAATGATCTCCAAATACAATTCAAACCAATGAGATAAAATTGCATCTGCAAAGATCGTTTAACGCAAGTTGCAGTATTTGACTTGAAATTTAATCATGATATTACTAGAAAAGGAAAATTTCATGCTTCTATTTTCTTCATTACTTATTTGCAAACCTATATTATTTTCTCGTATTTTCTAACGTGTAGGGAGGTCATTAGACTTTGACCGAAGTGGACATAATTTTGTGACAGAGGCGTCAATAGTCTTTATCAAAAATATTGTCGTGGTCATTTCACTTCGTTACACCATCACTAAGTAATTTCTGATATGATAATAATGTGTAAACGAGAAGATATTTTTAAAAAATATTTCAAAAATAATGACAGACCTGATAAGTGTTGCTATTTATTTCTCTAACATTCAGTACATTTCCACGACAATGGACAAATGATGCTCGTTTAACTGCGTGGCATATATCTATTACAAACACATCACCACCCGCTTGTATTGCAGCCGCACAAGTGCATGACGAATTATGTCCAGGATCAGCATCACACTTTTGAGTTTTTATTTGTACTTCCGCAAAATGTATCTTGTCTTTATACAAAAGGTAATGCTTAAATGGTTCAATATAAGACCATGGACAATCAAATGTATTTAACCAAGGGTCGTTCTGAACCGAACATATTTTTCCTCTCCATTCAAGATTTTGAGTTCCTCCCGAATACTTGATCTTAAAGACCAACCAAATTAGTATATATACGATTCGTACGCAAAACATAATGATAGTCAACGTCAGTTAATTTGAATTTAAATTCTCTGTCCATGTGCCCCTCACGACTTTTGGTTCGAATCTCTCCAGGGACTTTTAAATCTTTCATGTGAGGAAGCTATCTTAACGTGTAGGCGGTCGTTAAATCCAACTACTATCTTTGAAAACAACAAACAATATTAATTAACAGAACACAGAAAGCATAAGCGTTACGAAGAAAGAACAATACACGTTTTTGATATCAAAGTTCAGAAAATCAATAATGAGATTACTTTTAAAGAAGCGCTACCTGCCAAAGGAAGGTATCATCGCACTTGTTTGTGTTTTTTTTAGTTTACACGCCGTATATTTAAATTGTTTTAATAACAGTAGGCTCGAGTTGTAGAGAGACAGACACATTACGTACAAGATCACCGCTTCTCCTTTCAGCAATTTGCATTTTAATTGAATATTAGCATGATGATTGTAAATAAGATTATTGAATCATTAAAAATAAATTATCCACAGTTTTGCTTTCATAAACTGATAAAGTGCTAATATCTCCATAATAAAAATATTTTATAACTGATTAAAATCATGACGAGTGTATAAGTATTAATACTGTCTTTGATACACATATTTTAAACAATACTTGATTATTTTTAAAGTGTCAAAGGTACACCCACCATGCAGTTCATCTGTAATTCACCATGTGTACAGGGCGCATGGCACAGCAGATTATAAATTGACATGTGTTTTGATACATTGTTATTGCATGTCAGCTACTTGAAGTATGATGAAGTTAATAAGTTGCCATTATCGACTTGATATAAAGAAGTTACACATAATTTTAAGTTCGGGTTTTGCTATAATTTAAAACAAATTTGTGGCCATATCAGTTTGTTTAAAAAACATCTTTGATCTTTTTTTTTATCAATTCAGCATGATAGAAAACTTATTTAATTTTTTTCCTCTCTATTGCTACATTTTAATCCATTAAACAAGAAGAACCAAGCAACATATCATATAGAAATTTCATCATTGCGAGTAAATTTCTTTTTTACACTTCAAGTGTAATTCTTACATAAATAAAAGAATAGATATAAAAAAAACTTCATACCGTTACATGATCCAGAATGACATTTTCCCAAAATGGGTGTTTAGTATTTTTGGAAATTTGTAACTGTAAGGTAAATGTTTTGTCTGTTGGATATTGAAGTCGATCATTTGACACTGAAATGTTAATCGAGTAGGTGGTGAGTCTATTTAAAATTTTGTCGTAGCTGCAGTAGCTAACATTGTGTTGATGCATACAATCGTGTGAGGATGCGTTCTTCCAGCCAGTAATTCTACTTCCACATAGTTTCTGATTATCTAGGGAAGTCAAAGCAATGTCGTGACACTGAAAAGGATATGTATTTGTACAACTAGTTAATTGACTAGCACTATATGTGCAAAGTCAGAGAAAAGTAAAAACAGACACAAATAAGGCGATTGGTAGAACACCAATATATATTAAAGGTTTGGAAACTAGAAAATATTTGATGATATTCTTGTTCATTGTAGGATTACCAAAAGCACACAATATTCAAAAATGATATATGATTGCATCTACATGGCGCTGATTTTCTTCTTTAAGTCCATCATAATAAATGTGCATATCAATATTTTGAACGTTTGACAGAATGATATTGACATAGGTAAAATTATTACTGTATATTTAGAATTAGGATCAAACATTTCAATATCAACAAAACATGGTAAGATATCATCTGAGGAATTTATCCATTGTCTACACCCAAGAGGAATGGTTGGTTGTAGAATACTATCTGACGATCCGCTTGATAATGTTATCTGAGGTGTAAGAATCTGAAATAATAAGAAATGGTATAAGGTTTACTGGACTACATAATAAAAGTATTTCGATGTAAATAAATTCGAATTATATATTTCGTGTAATGTGTGTTTCAGCTTTTCAAGTGTTATGTAATAACCTTACTGTTTTGTCTAAAAATGATATTATTAACAGAGGAATAAGGCAGTTTGAATATTATGTAACTTCAAATAAGAGTTCAAATGTCACCTAAAACGTAACATTATGAAAGTTATAAAAATTATATTTTTGACAAAAAACAAAAATTAAAAAAATCACTCTGTTTGAAAAAAAACTAAAAGGTTAAAAAGATTTTTATTTACAAAAAAACAACAAAAAAAAAGATTTTTATTTTTATAGTTAAAGAATTTTTTTCATATAAAAATTTTTTTTCAATTTGATTAGTAAAAACGCCACATCCGCAAAAAATTAAAACACAACTGAAAAACATATCTAAAAAATTTTTTGTTGATTATACAGTTGGATAAAACAGAAAGATGGTAGTTTTTTTAAAAACCCGTCAGATTATATCATCTACTAATGGGGCATTGCTATGTCTGCAAAAGTAATCATCTTCATATAATTCTGAACATTTGTACAAAACATCCGGATATTATAGTAAATTTTAAGTGTACCCAATTTTCAATCAAACACACAAGAAAGTGTATATAAAACTGCAAATATCTCTTCACAAAGATATTTATATACTCTTTAGCTTAATATTTCACACCAATACAGAAAGTTTTGGCATTAGTCTACTGTTCCATTTTCAGCTATACTAGATACTATTAAAGATAGTGTGCAGTCATATATATCGTGAAGATCCCATCGGGTAAGCGGGTATGTAACAAGCACATATACAGACCTAAACCATCTGAACCTATGCGTGCATGTCAGTATAATATGTTTCTAATATTATAAAACAAAAACATAATCATCAACATCTAGCTTACAAGAGTGTCTCTGCAAAAGATAATTCTTCAATAGAAAGTTCATTAAAAAGTTTTATAAAAGTTTTCAGATCACCCAAAACCGTTCCAAAATCCGAGTTTGACCTAATTGAGTCTTCTTCTGCTAGGTTAAGAAGTGTTTGTTCTTTACAATTTTTGTGGTTGTTATTAAGATTAACGATATCTATTGCTGGTCCTTATTATCTGAATGTGTCGTTTATTCATTTTTAGGTTTAATCTATTCAATCTTACGTATAATAACATTTATCAGTGTGATTGTTTATCGCTGTTACAGTTATAGACTTTAAAACATAATTTTACCTTTACACCAGCGTAGAATATATCACTCATTTGAGGGCTTGTTTGATTCCCGGTAAAAGTACTTGATACTCTTACTGCGCACTGAATCTGGTAACAATTAATGAAAAATTATTCTGGTATAACAATTATGAAAATTAATATGGTTAATATTTTTCGAATTAATTCGATAACTAGAAGGGTTGTTTGTCACAAAATCATATGTCTCCCAAACAAGGTATATACGAGTACATAATGTTACGTTTTAGGTGACATTTTAACTCGTATATAGTACTGACAACTCCTGTAATTTTGTCAAAATCCTGCCAGCAGTTTTAACTGTGAAAGCCGGAATTTTTTTTTCATGTAAAGCTCTGACGGCCCATTTTGTGCAAGGAAGCGGAACATGCGGGCAATATGCACAACAATGAATGGTACTGATCACTCCTGTAAACATTCATTGAAATCCCACCAGCGGTTTGACCTGTGTAAACCGGATAAAAAAATATATTAATAGCTCTGGTGGCGATTCCGTGCAGGGAAGCGGAACATGTGGGCGATATGCACACCTAGGGATGGTACTGATCACTCCTGTCAACTTTCATTGAAATCCCACAAGCAGTTCAACCTGTGAAAGCCGGACATATTTTTTATTTTAAGCTCTGGTGGCCATTTTATGCAGAGGAGCAGATAGTGCCGACACATATGCCCCCTTTCTTGCCCTTGACTCACATAATTGGTAATTTTGTTACAGAAACTTGCCATAAATGGGTACATGGAAGTGTTCAATTATGGAAAAAAGAAAAATAATGAAGACTTTGTGATAAATAGTTTTCAAGATAATGAGATATTTAAGGCCCCTGTGACCTAGAACTTTGAACTAGTGACCAAAATCAATAGGGGTCATCGACTCTTCAAGATAATCAGCGGAAACCATTTTGACATTTAAGGTCTCTGTGACCTTAACCTTTGATCTAGTGACCCCAAAATCAAAAGGGGTCATTAACTAGTTATGCCCAATCACTATGTGAAATATTAAGACTTTGTGATGAATACTTTTCAAGATAATCAGCGGAAACCATGTTGTCTACCGACAGACAGACCGACGGACCGACAAACCGACGGACCGACAGACAAACAGACCGACAAAAGCAAAACAATATACCCCCTCTTCTTCGAAGGGGGCATAACTAGGGATGGTACTGGTCACGTCTGAGAAGTTTCATTGAAATCCCACCAGCAATTTAAGCTGTGCAAGCCGGACAAGATTTGTTATATTTTTAGCTTTGGTGGCCAGTTTGTGCAGCCAAGCGGTAAAGCAGTACGTGCGGGCGATATGTACAACTAGGGATGGTACTTATCTCTCCTGTCAACTTTCATTGACATCCTGCCAGCAATTTGACCTGTTAAAACCAGACAAGCTTTTTCTATTTATAGCTCTTGTGGCCATTTTATGAAGCTGAGCAAAAGAAATACTAGCGACATGCACAACTAGGGATGGTACTGATCACTTCTGGGAAGTTTCATTGGAATACCGCCAGCAGTTTGACTTGTGAAAGTCATACAAGATTTTTTCATTTTTAGCTCGGGTTGCCATTTTGTGCAGCCAAATTGAACGTGTAGACGATATGCACAAATAGGGATGGTACTGATCACTTCTGTGACTTTTCACTGAAATACCGCAAGCAGTGTGACCTGTGAAAGCCGGACAAGATTTTTCTAATTATAGTTCTTGCGGCCAGTTTGTGCAGCGAAGCGGAACGTACAGACGATATGCACAGCTAGGTTTTGAACTGATCACTCCTATGAGGTTTCATTGAAATCCTGCCAGCAGTTTGATTTGTGAAAGTCAGCTAAGCTGAATGCGGATGGAATGACAGACGTACGGACGGATAACGGGACAGTCAGACAGATAGACGGCGAAGGCAAAAACAATGTTTCTTCCCAATATTTTTGGAGACATAATAAAAAAATCTATTGGAAATTCATTTTAATCGTATTGTATTTTAAACACTAAAAGGTTGAAAACATTATGTGTCATTTAAGAAATTTCTAAAGACATGCAATACTTAACAATTCTTAAACATCTTTTTGAAATATTTTTAGAAAAAAAAACACTTGCGAAACAGGACCATTGTTAAAGATAACATTATCCTTCAAATGATATTGAAAACGGTGATCGTGTAAATATTTGTAAAGGCACATTTTACCTCAGAAACGAATACATATTTTCTTTTTAGAATGATTTTTTTATTAATCACTTTGAGCTAGTTGTTTATCACATGAAGAATGTGGTGTTAAACGTGACATTATTTGTCATTAAAGTAACAAAATGTAAACAAAGGAGTATTTTGACTTCCATACAAAATACCACATCTGATACCCGTATCTCATTGCCAAAAGGCAACAAAGGCATTAGGTGGTTGAGGTAATTTACCAACGAGAAACTTTCTTGAAACTATGAGAGAGCACCAAAGATAAAAAGCTTTTGGGAAATTAAAATAATTGCGTTTCTGAGGCATCAACGGACCTTTCAGTGTTTTGAACTTCACATACAAATGGTAAACCGTATCACACATTTATTTAAATAACGAAGTTGCTACGAGAATTTTGGATGCAACATACTTATTTTAACGTATTCATTTTTAATAGGCTAAATAATGTGTTGTATTTCAATATTTGGAAAATACAAATCATTTCTTTTGTAACTGACCGCTTGCATGTCGTGTTCCAGTTAATACATACAGATATTCCAAATTTGGATCCCAAGCTGCGAAAAGTCGTCTCATTAAGGTTTGTACCATCTACATCATCTATCTTCACTGGTGCAAATGTCTTCTCGAGTCGCCCATTAATAATCCTTTAAGATTACATATATGTTTAAAAAACAAGAATAAAGATCAACAAGGTAAAGCTAACGTTCACAGGACGTAGCCCCGACACACCCAAGTAGGGCACCAAGAAGACACCCAACAAAACCCTGGAGTGGACATAAGGGCGGCAAAAGGAGAGAGAAGTCGCATTGCTTTAATAACATGATATTGATTATACAAATTCCCTAATACATCTTTATATTAATACGATATGATACAAATGCCACGTTTGAGAAAATATATGAAAAGCTTACTAGTTTATTTTCTTATGAGACTATCCTTATATAAATCAATAAGTATGGCAACAGGTTTGTTTTAACACTACAGTTCAACATTGAAGCTGGTATCTGGCTTCAATACTATAGACTAATCACTTTCTATTTTATTGACGAGTATGTAAAGATGATGCAAGTATCCGTTGTTCAATATAATTAAAGCGAACTTTGCATTATATACACCCGGGTCAACGAGAAATGTTTCAGTAGTGATAAACGGTATTATTTGCAGATGTATAAAGATGATTAAGTTTAAAGTGAATGTATTTGTTTGTTAACATCTATATTATCGTTTACAGTGTAACTTCTGAAAACCGAACACCTGTGGGACTAGCCAAAAAGTTCGGAATTTTAAAGTTTCCGGAATTCAGAAGTTCGGAATAATCTGAACAAAGTACAATTATTATACATGAACTGTTTTATAGTAAGACATGATGAAAAATATATGAAGATGATTAAATTGATAAAATAGCAAAATTATAGGACTTTTAGTATTTTAAATTTCATAATCACCTATAACTGAATTTGCTGATACAAGGGCAAAATGTTAATTTAGTATATTTCATATACATGTAGTACCTGCTATTTACCTGTATTTTTTTCATTTCATCACATTACTTTTTTCAATGTCTTAACCTTCACACTTTAAACAAGTGTTTGATATGCTTGACAGGTTGTAATTCTAATAGGTGTCAAGATAAATGGGTACTGTTAATTGGAAGATACTGACATTTTGAAGGTTTTTCAATTACAAGTATAATATTCCTCCACACCTTTTTTAATTTCCGGATTTTGGAAGTAAATTTTAATTGATTTAACCCAAATTTTACCAGAAAAAAGCTTGGAATTCAGAAATTAAAAGTTTCGTAATTCAGAGGTTTTGATTACAAAGAAAACAGAAGGAGAAATTTCGGGACCCTGAAAAATGTTGATTTTAGAAGTTCCGGAATTCAGAAGTTACACTGTATTTATAATTCTAAAATTATATTTATAAAGTTTATTTATATTTCTAAGAAATAAATGATAAGCTTATCAAACTATTACCAGCTGACTTCATAGTAATATGAAGTGTTTTCTGATGCGAAATTACATTTGAAGTCAAGTTCCGGTTCCAATCTTTGGTCTGTCAGTCTGTACATTAGTGCAACGCTTACCAGGATGTTACCAGGAATTGTGTAATTTGGTGCAGCTGCCTCCACTGAAATATATGACAATTTCAAACCAAGCACCAGTGTAAAGTAATAAACATAAAATATCGAGGGCTAAGACAATGAAAATTCTAAATATATGCAAATGTTTGTGAGTTAAAAGAAAATGTTATTGTTGATTTAAGTTAGATATTTAGATCAACGTGTAATCTTTAAACTTACCTGACAAAGAAGATGGTTCTGTAAAAAAGAGGATTTAAGAATAAGTATATGTTTTATAATATTTCACATAACATTTGTTTTATTACTTTCATTTCACATTTTTTATTCATATTATTTAGAAGGTTTAAAAAGTTTATGTATTTGTTAAGGTACCGTTGCCTTTACATTAAACCATTCTTAATTCCATAAAGAATATACATTAAGAATTCAAAATTTCTCTCTGATAGTTACAAAATGCAATTTTAAATTTAAAAAATGACCAGGAAAGTTGTCTAGTTAACTGAAATGTTTCTCCATGTATGATGTTTATAGTACAGTTTTCATATGTCTCATTTCATAAAAATATAAATTTTTTAACCAATTCATATCAAATATGTTCATACCAAAACAGTATGCACTTGTCCCATCAGTTGGAGTAAGATAATACTGAATTCCCTGTCTGCATTTGCGAACTTTTATGTTATAACGCTGTTTACAACTGTTGTCAAAATCAACTAAGCATGCAATGAGTGAATATTCTTTATCTTCGTCAAGTTTTCCAAGCTTGTCTAGAGGTGAAGTTAAAAAGAATGTGATTCTGCATTTCTGTGATTCCATGCAAATGTCACGGACAAAAACAATCGTTTATGTTAATGTATAGACATTAATTTGAAACAATTTCAGCTCTTACTAAACTTTATTAGAAATCTTTGAATGCTGCAGATCTTGTTGCTGTTATTCAATAAACGCCTGGGTGTAAACATGGTAAAATTTGTTTGGTCCTCTTGTTTTTACGCCGATTGTAACACATTGTTTGGTCATATATCGGTGGTCGATCCATCAAACCACTTTTCCTGGATAACTAACCAGTAATAACCGCATGAATACTAAAACAGGTCAGAGACAAATGACTACATGTTAGAAACAATATCCGAAAACAGTTCTCAATGAGAAATAACGCCTCGCCCGAGGGTCGAACCAACGACCCCTGAATAACATATCCGATAGTTTCCCTGTTTAGCTTAACAAACAGAAAAGAAATTAAGTATAAAGTCAAAGAATTGAGTTGCCACAAATATACAAATGATAAACTACCTTTGATATAAATCGGGTTTGCAGTTCCACAATGTGCGTATTTAGGTGACGTTCCATTAACAAGCGTGTAGTATCTAGCACTGTCCTTAGCCACGTACCACCCAGACGCAAGTGTAGAGTCGGATATAGAAGGCTCGGAAGACGATTTAATTACATACGAAGGCCCTCTTCTACTGACATCTGTTAGCACACGAACCTGACCGTTGCATGACGCCGCACAATGATATGTGAAGAAACCTAGTATGAAGAATGTCTAACCCTTTATGTTTCATACTGTTTGTTACGTTGATTGCTATTTACTCAAGCAACAATAACCAAACATTTATAGCTTCTTATTTTCAGTTGTTCTATAAAGAAATCTTACTAACATATTATTCATCGTGTCATGATATTAATGTAACCGTGTCAAACCTGACTGAAAATGTATTAATTGATTGTTTGTATGAGTAAAATTGAATACAAGTCAAAATTACATCAACCTGAAAGTGAGATTATTTGACAAATGTGTTTTTTTTTAAACTTGAAAAGGGAAGAGCACTGGAGAGCAATAAACATAAAGTTTGAAAGTGAAAATAATGGGCTCTGTTTGATTGGATATGTTCATGAGAGAGATGTCGGAAAGGACAACAGAAAAGGCAACATCTCTCACGTTAAGAAATACAAAATAAATTACTAAATAAAAAAAAAATGTGTTATATTGTAATATTGTAATCTAAATTATCAAATAACTTATATTCTTTGATACAAAATCAATGAAACCCTTCTCAGTTCAGTGGATGACTTATTGTTTTCTCAAACAAAACTGTATATTGTACAAAATTATGCTTACCAAATATAAGTAACATCGTCGTCTCAAGCTGCAACATTGTTGAATGCTTTAAATACACCACGTATATAGTCAAAATATACACTGCTTGTAATTTGCTCTAAATTTGTATACACTTTCTTAAAAACATTCTTAAATCATTACAAGTGTAGTCTTCACAACTATGCATGTATTGTGCCTGTATTTCTTTTTATATGTTTTTACTGGTATTGGTCAATTACGAAAGAACCCCATCTGATAAAAATGTCAGATAGACTTCCTCGTCAAAGGAACATAGATATTTTGAAATAAAGTATGAGATGAAATTGTAGTCCTAAGTACGTGGTTTGGTATGTAGGTAGCCCTTATCTATAGATAATACATGCACACGTGCTGCAATGAAAATGCGTATGAAAATAACCTTGAATTGCTCTTGAACGATTTGTTCTGATTTTACGCCGATTTTAAAGGTCATGTTTGTTTATTTGTTTTTTGTTGTTGGGGGTTTTTTTTTGGGGGGGGGGGGGATTTTTAGGGCGTCATCTTTCGTATCGGATTTATATCAAGGTAGTTGAGAACGTGACAACAAGGAAACACCACCGTCTTCCAATGTCTACTAGGGGACTCAGCTTGTTATTTGCGCGAATCCCCAACTACCTACTAGAAGGTAGTTGATAATTCGGATATTGCATATATTCCTCTTAAAATAGGAGTTTATTTCTGGAGCCAATGTAACGAGATAAGTATTTTCTTCAACATGTAAACACCCCCTTATTCCTACATATCATCTTATCTAATATTATAATTTTCATCTTTTTTTTAAATCTTAGAATTTTGTTTTTAAATATTACCTGTTACTACTTTCATTGATATGCATGTTTTATCATACTTTGAAAATGTTCAACATTTGAGGGTTTTTTTTTAATCATACAGAACAATACTTAATTTTTATATATGTTTCCAAAGTTCTGTTTTTATTTTGACATTGTATCCACTACTTAATTAGCAATTTTTCTCTTTCAGCAACAAAATTGTTGACACGTGAACTAATAATGAAATTCGCCACCTACATCAGCATTGCAAAAAGTACATTTTCTTTCATAAGAAGGTATCTCTGCCTGTTACATGCAAGATTATGTGGATCATCATTAGCCTTACAGTAGAAAAAATTCATCAAGATGTGGCTCCTCCTGAAAGAAAACACAAGTGTTGATATTTGATAAAAGTTCCAGTAACGTCATTCATTTTGGAGGTTTTACGTATCGGAATTGCATCCCAAATGATGAGAAAAAAGTTCGACGTTGCATTCTTCGATAAAAAAAACACACACACACAAAAACACACACCTGACCCTTTTCAGCTTTGTTTTGATCAATAACTCTACAACGGAAATGTCGATGGCTCTCATTTAAAAAGATCAGCAAAATGTGAAAGAGCCATTGTTTAGTAGGTGTGCAAGGTCCATTTGGAATGTCGGAACTGAAAGAGGCCTAAGCTGACACTTTCTAATCGTAACAAACTTTAAGATGCATAATTGTCTTAACTGGAAAATCCGATATTGCTTTCCCACTCCACCAAGTCTTCTGAAATTGTATAAAACCTAAGAAAACAATTGAGCTACTCCGACTTGTTATCCATTCGTATTTAATTGATTTTTTACAAGTCCTTAATGCTTACGATATAATGTAATTAGGTCCATAAGGTTATCACGATTTTCACGCTCTTGGTGATATAGCTAAACGTACCAAGACCAACCACCGGAGAATTCGGGGTAATATTTTTGCACATTACCCAAAAATGAATAATATTACTACCAATATTTTTAGAAACACGGCAAAGCACAGGTAAAAATCAAGTCATGTGTGAGATACATGCGACATTTCAAACGTTGTAGAAGGGCAAATAACTGTTTCAAACTTTCTAGTAAAATTAGACAGTGATTAACCCCCTTATAAACATACAAAGAGTTACTAAATTAGTACTGTCGTTATCAGTTCTCACTTCCCCTTGGAGCGTGCTCGTCGCTGAGGAGGCACAGGACATCGGCACTAGATTTGAAGACTTGTGATGGCGCAAAAGATCGAAACTTGTACTGCACACCAGCTGCCGATGTCCTGACTAATTCCGAGGGGAGTAACCCTATAAAGAAGGATAAGACGACGAGAATAGATAATTATGCTAGGGTGCTTCAAAATTAACTCTTTAAGAGCATGACTGGTGGAATGTCCGAAGTCCGTACCCGGTAGCGTAAGCAATATTGTGTGCCCTTACAGGCGGATGGACCCTCATTAGCATAGACTACAGACAGACAGACAGACTGTCGACTGTGTTCACAGGAAAACAGACCGACTGTTTCACGAGTTTGTTTGAAAAGACCGGGTTTTTTATTTTACTTTGTTCGGTATATACAAAAATATGTGGTTCAAATGAATTATTCTAGTCAGGTTGGTGTGATACCAAAATGGCTGAACAAGTCTTATATCATTAAAACAATTTATTTCAACATGTAAACATTTTTTTATATAAACATGTGTAACATAAGAAATAGAATCAACATTTGGAAGTTGGTGCTGGTGGCAGAGCATTGTTTGCAGCAAAATGTCTCAATCCTGAAAATAAAAGAAAAATAATATATGATAATAAAAAGAATATAAATGTTAAATTTTATATGAATCTGACAAACAAAACTTTATTTTCTCATCTGAAAGACAGTGCATCAACTGTGCACATGTTTTGCTATTTACAAAATAATGTCATAGTTCCAACATGCTCATTCTAGTGGATTAACGAGTTTTCTTGTGACGGGTCGAAACAATAAAAGTACGAAAACTGTGAAAAACGTCATCGATTGTAATTTTTGATTTCTCTCAAAACTATCACCTTTGTCCCGTCACACAAAATTAATTAACATTGCAAAAATTGGAAAGCATAGTGATACATGTACAATAATGATACGTTTTCGGAAAAACAAAATCGTTCTGAAAGTATCCACATGTTGTTAAAAGAAAAACGTATATACTTATAAAAGCAAATTACAGGCAAATTCGGTATCTAAATGTGCTTAAATGTATTGAATACGATGATCGTTATTTTTTAATCCCTAAAAGCTGTGCATACTTTTGTCCTACTTAAAGTGTAATATGGACAACTCATTCAGGCATATTGAGATGAAGGTCAAAATTTACCTGCTAGGGCCGACTGGAAACCAGCGTTGTAATCGCACGCGACTTCATTTTTCACATAATCGTCACGCCTGTCGTCATAGTTGTCACCATTGTCAGGACCGCCTACTAGACCACCCTTGAGGACGTTGGGGTTTGGGCCTGGATCACCTATGCTACACTGTGTTGTTGTTGTAGGACAAGAACTGCAGAAAATTCACATCTATATAGTCAAATTTAAAAACGCTAATAAAAATTGTGAAAATATCAATATAATGATGAAGATGGTCATTATGATAATGATGATGATGATGATGATAATGATGATAATAAAAATGGCGATGATAATGATGATGGCTGTGTAGATGATGAGTATGATGATGGTAATGATAATAATGATGTTTATCTTAAAATTATGCTGCTGATAATGATGATGACGACTATGCTGCTGCTGTTGCTGCTGATCAAGATGAAAATGGTGGTGATCAAGATGATGATGATGATGATGGTTATTATTATTATTATTATCACTATTATCATTATTATTATTAGTAGTAGTAGTAGTAGTAGTAGTAGTAGTAGTAGTAGTATTAGTATTAGTATTATAAGTATTATTATTAATATTATTAGTATTATAAGTATTATTATTTATTTTAATTATTATTAAAAATTTGTAGACTTAAACCCGTGCAATATCATGTGATGATTAACTCAGAGTTCGTATTTCCATGTTTGCAATATAAGAATGTTTTCCAAGCATGTATGACAATATTCTATAGCTCCAGTTTGTTATAAAAATAAATAATTAAAAAAACAATTCTAAACCTTCCTCTATGATGCGGATGTTGAGGGAACTTGGAACCAAAACCTATCTCATAACTCATATGATATTTATTGTCTCCAAGGAGATAGTTTATCTGACTCATGGCAAAGTTCTTGAAGGAATCCGGTTCGATACCTTCCTCAGCGGCTATAGCTGCGATAAACGCTGCGTTCGCTGGAAACAAAAACTATAATTTCGTCGAAAATAATTATTTTTTGTCAAAACGAAAATAATTATATTTTTTTCCAAACAAATTCTTAATGATATATAGGCTTTGAATTAACTAACAAATTAGATTACATTAGCTGATACAATAATTCTTAAACTTAATATATTTCATTTTATGAGGAAAAGGTACGTTATGCCATTTGTCGATTGGGTAAACCAATAAACATACATGTATTGCTTCAAGGTTTTAACCATTAAAACTCTTAATAAATTTTATGCATTATTGATGATTATGTTAACCCAATTGAAAAAATAATTATTTTTTAGATGAAAATAAAATATAACAGTTATTATTTGATATTATAACGGTAGAAGCGAGTCTTCCAGTTTCCCGCCCTGTTCCATAATTTAACAATTAGCTCTATAAACCATAGAAAAACACCTACAGAAAAATATACAAAATATACATCTATGACCCCTTACCAGCATATCTATTTGGTCCCCACTGGTCTCTCCAGGCAAGCCCACAAGGCGTGGTCTGAATACCTCCACCTGGCAAATAGCTCTTTACAAATGCCTCTATGTCTCTCTTATAGGTATCATCCTTTGTGGCTTCATACAACAACAACTAAAATCAAACGTAAGTTTTCTTGTTTCAATCAAGGATTACTGTATAGATGCGTGCCACCATATTGGAATTTCCACTAGAAGTGACGTCACAGTAGAGAACACTGTCACGTGTCACACACGTTCCAAAATATTTCAAATAGGTAGTGCAAAGTTTCGAAAGAATCCAGGAGCGGATTACAAACATGAATATATTGCCAATCATGTTGCTTCAATGGACCTTCTTGGTTGGGAAGGGGCGAGAGTAATTTCCACTGAACACGAGTTTGAAAGTTCAATCCCGAATGCAATAAAAAAACATACTATGTTAAAAAATGATTCAACATTATTGAAGTGCCGATCCAAAGAGGTTATCTATTTGTAAAGAGGTTCCTTCATCTATGGATAGTTGCTAGGAACTAGACCATGTTTCCTTATATGGTACTAGTGCTCGTCACCGGTCCGAAAAAAAAAAGGTTAAATAAGCATAAAACTTGTATCGTTATCAAATTATTATGAAAACAATTCGTTTTAATAAAACAATCTGCAAAAACTCTACGATTTGTTGGTCCTT